GTTGTGAACAGGAAATCAATGATTTGTCATTGCAACATCCACAATTCAATATTTACAGTTTGTAGTGTGTTAATTCCGTTTTACAATATGTTTTCTGCATTAGATGGCCTTCAGTGTCTAATTTTTCATCAGACGAAAAGCATTGCTTTATTTTCAAAAAACATAGCTCATTGTCCAATAACAAGCCTCGAGCAAAATCATTCATTTAGTACTTTAAAAAAGGAATGCCTGCTTGTTTTGACACTTCTTTCAAATGTATCCATCTTTATTAAGCAAGTGTAACACTACGCATTTAAAAAGCCTTGGTCAGGTCCTGTTATATGTTTCATTCATAGACCTGGAATTTTTCAATTTAAAGGGACACTATAGTAACCATGTTTGTAATCTTAACACTATAGCATTCCTTTAAGTACTGTACAAGATATGTGGCAACTTAAAAAATGCAGACTACACCGAGAAATCCAATGTCCAATATCATTTACAATCTTGTACAAACAGGGTTACTTACTAAAGCAAACATTTCTAGTAAATTCAGTGTTGATTTAACATTTAAAGTGACACTATATTCACCCAGACTACTTCAGCTCATTGAAGTGGTCTGGGCGCACTGTCCCAGTCCCCCTTAGTCATACAATGTAAAACACTGCAGTTCCAGAGACACTGCAGTGTTTACATTGCAGTACCAAGACAGCCTCTACCAGAAAGCCACTAGAGGCGCTTCTGGGAGTTTACCGGACTCGAGGTATCCTAACTAGCTCTAGACATGCTCACACTCTGCATGAGGACATACATCATCAGTGAAATCCCCAGAGGAAATCATTGAATTAATGCTTTCCTATGGGGAGTGCCTAAGACGCTTGCGGTCCCCCCTCCAAATGACGTCAGAGGAGGCTGAGCACGGGACATCTGTGCTGGAATCAGGTAAGTATATAAAGGTTTTTTTTTACCTTATATATGCTGATGGCGTGAGGGAGGGGGCAACCAGAAAGCACTATAACAGAATTCCTTTAAGGTCAAAATAGTTGAATTGGAAAATATTTTCTAAGTCCATCATGCTTTCAGTGTAACTCTTTTGGTTTAGAATTTTAAATTCTTTTTGAATTGCTGACTCTTCTCACATTCGTGAATAGCCCAGATTGTGTGGAAGAGAGTTAGACATAAGAGTAAAAAGTAAGCATATGTGCACTCGTAAAATTAAAATGATTTGATAATTGATACCGAAATTTGTCATATTTGTGATCTAGCTTACACAATATTAGTATTTTCATATATTGTCATACTTCTAGTCCAGATCAATCATTTTTCAAGGTGAATAAGAATATTAGCATTCATGAAATCTAAAGTATTTCAACCATGTTTAAAAGTGAAAATATTAAGTATTTAAGCTTTTTATACCCTTTTCGTGATGTAGATAGACCTGCAATTTGAAAATGGAAGCATTTATTGGGGTTCACAGGGCAGCCATCAGGGGGGTACAATTTGTACACCTGTAATGGGCCTGGGCTTTATATAGCCAAAAATAATAATACATAAAATGCACAGAAACCATGCACACTTCTAATAAAGAAAATTTCTTATCCCGGTGTGACTGCCAACCAGCTAACACACTCAATAAACAAGGAAATGCACTCGCGGGATTTGCTGTAGAAAAATCTTCACTGTTTTATTTTATGAAAAAACAGGCTATAACATACATTTCAATGTTTCCGTCTCACAAGACTTTCATCGTTCCAATTTTTATATTCACATTGAATTTCCAACAATGCATACGTTTGTAAAAAGAAAAACATCTGATACACTTAATAAACATTTTTTATTTATTTTTTTACATCATCCTTATATTTGGGTTTTCACACGCCATTCCCAACAAAGTGGCAATCCAGTAATTCAATTTGTGGTGGCCACATGTTAGAAAACGATGTTGCATGGATGAGTGAATTTGTTGTTGAAACTCCAAAGACTCCCTGTAATTATCCTGCAGATTTAATAAGTGATTTTTGCTGTGAGTGTCTAAGTGGGGTGAGGAGGTGTTGTGATTTCTGTTTTGTGTCTTGTTGTGTCCTGTCCTTTGAGCAGTTCAGATCATATCTCTTGCAAAGACACTGCCTCAAACTCCCTCCTGGGGAGGTGGCTACATTCCTGTCCTGGTTGAAAAGCCCAGGTATGTGAGTATACAGAATAATATAGTCCTGAACACCACTCCATGTAGCCACACATGACACCGAGCAACTCTGTGTCACATTCCAGAGTCCTGCAAGATATTCTGTACAGCTCACTATTTTACAGAGGCCTGCAGGATATTATCCAAAGTACTGCAGACTACAGAGCGCTGTCTACAGCTGTGATATACACCATTAAGTACTTTTGATGGGCCCAGAGGGAAACAAATACTAATGCTTGGAGAACAATCTGTCAGTGATTGTAGTACCTGGTGGGAAAAAAAATATTCTTATACAGCTCTGTAGGAGTATGACAAACGCTAGCACTGAGGGCCCTACAAATCGTATTGTCGGTTCCCAGCTTTTGTGAGTTCTCTCTATAAAACATTTGATAAACATAAACATCTATAAACAAAAGATTTATTCAATAGACTCAATTACAGTGAATTGGAAGTATAATTGGAAATTTTAGGTAATAATAGCTGATTTGGGAGAATTTTCTGGCTCATCTATAGTCAACTTGGCTATTTTTGCAATTTCTGAGAAATGGCAATGTTTACATTTAAACATGCTTCTCCTCCTCCAGTTATTCCTCCTTTGAAACGTTTGATTTGGTTTCAGTGCTTCACTGTGAGAAGCACCAAATTGGCAGATTGTGGGGATAGTTATAGTTGTGTAATGTTTCTCTAACTAAAAGTACCATTGGATTGGACCACCTATCTCTAATCTTGATAATCTAACTTTGAGCGGATTAGGCTGCAGCAAGGAGTGTCTCGGCAGTGGATTGGCGTTATCTTTAGTCGCTTTTTGCAATTATATTAGTTTTTTTTTTAACAAGGGAGCTCCGTAATCTAAATCAAACACCTCTAACATAATTGTATCTGGTTTTACAGTTAAGAGTGTTTGTTTAAGCTCCAGTTCTGTACAAATTAGCAGAGTCACAAGCACATTAGGGTATGGGAAGTCTTATATGGAGCACAGGGAATCTCATCAGGCATATACTGGTCTAAAACAACTCATGGCTTATACAGGGTTTTTAATGAAGTGTGTACTGTCCAGAACTGTCAATTAAAAATAAATTTGACATTTCAGGCCAGAGTAGACAGACTGGAATAATTCTCCAAGAGGGACCATACACCTAGACCAATACCCTCACATTTAGACATTGATAATGCATGTGGCTGGCTGACTGGCTGAGCATTGTGGGAAAGGAAGTCCATACTAATGGCTATGTTTATAATTCCCTGGTATCTATTACAGACTATTTAGATTCACTTTGAAATCACTGTGAATTCCTGACAATTCACTCTTTGGTGAATAACCTTGGTAGTCTTGCATGGCTGGTTTTATTGGGGTTAATTCAGACTTTCTTTCTCTTGCAGTTTGTAGGTGAGTATGACTGCACATACAGCGATACACAATGCTTTGATTACTTCCCACTGCAAACAATGGGCCAGGGCATCACATTTCTGTTTCTTTGAAGTGAAAGCAGAAGTTGCTGTTCCGGTCTCCCTTCGTCCCCTCTTCTCAGATTTAAGGGCGGACCAAGCTGTCACGAGTTCCCAACATTAGGGATGGAGATGTGTAGTTTAAAAAAATGCCGCTTGAGGGCGCTGTTGTTCCATTAGTTAATAGTTAATCTATTGAGCAAAGACAGAGTAGGTATAGTCAGGATATTTGCAGATCGATGTAATTAAATTAAAATAACAAAAGATGGAAAGAGCTGTGGTCATTTTACAAGGTAGGGACGGACTTGGACACCCTCCATTTCCACCCTTTTTCTTCTCCGTCTGTGCCAGCGATGAATAACTAACTTTGGCATCCCAAATGATGGTACCTAGCCAGCTTATGGGGTAGCTAAGCATCATGGGAATGCAGTTCACAAATATCTGGAGTGCCAAGGGCAGCCACCATTGGTCTATATCAGGGATAGTATAAAGATAGTTCCTCAGACTTTGTAGAACTACAACTCCCATTATGCCATGCCAGTTTAATGTGTTCGTACTTGCCTGGTCTCTACTCCTACACAGAGCACGTGCATAAGTGGCATAAGAACTTTCCGAAACGAAGAACCTTAATTTTAACATTAAACATTTCTTGCTAATTAGTCATTTCACGGCATTTTAAAAAAAAGGTTTAAAATGAAAGCAGATATTTTGATTAGTGAGTGTATTTAATTGGTGAATTGATTCCCCTCTGCAGCAAATGAATTCTGCATATTGCAGGGAAGTACTTTTCATGCACTGCCATTTGTGTCCAGAAATATGGCAGCCCTGTGCAGTACTACAATGATTTAATGAAGCTTTAAATAATATACATAATCAGTTTCCCTGTAAACAGATGGCCAATAGTCCCTCTCACCCAGATCTAAATAAACTGCACCTCACTGCTTTAAAACTGGCAAACACTTGCTCCTGTCTAGTAGTAAAGAACCCTCATATCCCCAGTGCCCCCAAATTCCTAATAGTGACCCTGACCACAAAAGGATGCCTCTAAATAAACACACACAGCTCTGCCAGCTGTTGGTATGTGAAGCATGTTAGAACCCTGTGTAGATCAGCCAGAAACTTAGATTTATGTCATATTACTCAACATGCCTATACATCTAAACAATAAATAATGCACACATTTACACAGGGCTATTTGCAATCGTGTGAAATCATACGAATTTGATACAGGATGAGAAGATATTCCTTGGATTGTGTATAGGCTTTTATTAACCATTTGAGGATGATGATGTTGGCTAACACTGCCATGTGATTTGAGATCAGAGGCTTTTAAATTCTCATATTAGCTACAAAAACTGTGCTTTTATTGAGCTGCTACTTTAACACCTCGCCGATGAGCTGGGACAGAGATCTTATCAGTTGGATAAGTAAGTGAAGGGACTTCCTTCAATCAGCACTTAATTTTCCCCTAACTCACTGCCTGCAGACTGACTCCCCCCTTCCTCCCCTCCTCACTGCCTGCGGTGACTTCACAAATCAAACCCCCTTTGCTAATCTGTTTATCCAAAGATTTTAGCACTTTCTTAAATTCTTAACTATGCCTACTTCTGCCTTCCCTAGAAAGCTATGGAGTGCATTAACAGCCTAATGGAGACCTTAGTACATTGTCATGTGTGCTTCACTTAGTGAATGGCTGGTAAACATAACTAAACCCAAATTCTATTTACATTTCTGCACTGTTATGTCTACCCAAATATTTAGGCCCCTTTCCCCCTGCTTACAAATCCCAATATGTGTCTGTCACCTACATTTTATACAATTTGTTTTAAATTAGCTAGTACAATAAAATAGCCAATTTATTTTTCCTCCCAGATGACTTTGAGATTGTAATTTGTTTTATATTAAGTTATGAGTTCACTTGTAGACTGAAACACCAATAAAGAATGTTTTGATCTCAATGCAATCTAAAGAGAATCCAGGGATCTGGTGTGAAATGTATGTTGTGCAATATATATTATATACATTTTGTTTTTTAATAAAACGTGTTTATTAATATATATATATATATATATATATATATATTGGTTGGCAATGTATTTGTATTATTATATAGCTGCGTAAATGTTTGTTTAAAGTATCAGATATTTATGTTTCTAATAACATAAAATACATAATGTAATATTCTTTCATTTTTTGAAATTGTTAAAAGTTACATCAATGAGAAAGAAACTTTCAGTCTGTTTGCAATAAAAATACTTTCACTCATACAAAACCGCACAAACAAAATCTCTAGAAATTTTAACCACCTGGATCTGAACGTATAAATCAAAGACATAAAACAGTCACACGGGCATCTTTTAATCCCCCTAATATGACCTAAAAATAAAGGAAGCCTTTAATATGCCTATAAAGTTGTCATTATTAGCCGGTAAAACTCAGACCTCACCTAGTGTAAAACATGTTGCTGCAGATTCTAATGAGACGAACAAGGTAGCAAATTCCTTAAACAAGAATTCTGTGCAATGCTATTTATTTCACTTTTATAGGTCTGATGCTGTATATAATGGTAGACTTGTGAAACAGGAGTTTAAATAGTTCACATACAGAAGTGATTCCAAACTTCTGTCAACAATCCCAGCATGGCTTATATTTTTGTATTAAAAAATATTGTACAGTGAGATGATAAACAATTCTGAATCAACGTTCTAAAAGTTGTGCTATCACCATGGATACAATGGAATGTTGCTGTTTATTGCTCCAGTTTTAGAACGTTGCCCCAGTAGTGCTCTTTGTAACACACCTCTGTGTGTAAATATCACTATCAATACAAGAAATGGTATAAAATAGCTTCAGTTATTTACCAATCGCCCCACAAGTGTTGAAATACAATAAATATTTTATTAATGCTCATATAAAAAACAGAGCTTTTAAAATTGATATTATTCACTATTTTAATTGGATAAGAATATGTTCCATTCACAGCTAAGTATAAGAGTGACTATAAATTTGTAGATGAAGAGCAGAGACAATGATATTTGTGATATGTTTCATGTTTTAAAATAACTCAATTACAGCACATTCACTCCAATTATGCTCCTAAAATGTCAGGATTCTAGTTTCCTGGGAACTGAAAGGTGAGAGGGGACACCTGAGAGGGATCACTAACTGTCTATTTAGAGTGTTGAATAACAAGGAGCTAAACGAACAAGTTTATACAGAGCTGAATGGAGCTTTCTCATTGTGCTGGAAAGTAGTGTGACTATAGAAGGGGGCAATGTGAAAAGAATCTTGAAGTGACCTGTCCATTGTTTGCTGAAACATTAAGATGTGCAGGTGAAGCATGCCTTCAAATCCTTCTATAGTATGTTATACACCTACTGAATGAGGGGGTCACCCAGGGACTGACTACTGCAATGAGTGAGGCTGTCCTTCTGGGAGTGAGATGAGTGAGGATCACTTTCTGTGGCTGAGATATATTCTCTCCCTATGACTGAGATATTATTTATTTATGCATGCATGTGTATGTGTAGGAAATAGACTACCAGGCTTAATGCTCTCTTATTGATCTGTTACTGATCAGCTCGCCTAATAAGTGCTACTGATTAATCTGTTCATGATCCTGACCCAGTTGAGCTATAATCACTAAACTTTGCCCCCCACCAGATATTTTTTAAATTGCAACTCCCATTGTGAGACAAGTTGAGTCCAGTCTAATCCTGGTGGTTTTCATGGTGAGTTCAGCTCCACTAATAATAAATGGCTGCCCATGGACTGGCACTGCTTCTGGTGTGAACTACAACTCCCATGATGCTCAGACAGCCGTTGGGGGTACAGCAGCGGTGATGGCTGGCAGGTTATGATGTCCCAGGCCGCACTGACTGAGGTAATAGGTTATAGCGATTTGCAGTGACAGGGAAACTGCTCCAGCTCTGGATACAGCACTGACCGTGCGCGGTCTCTTTAAAGGGCGGGGCTTAACAGTGGTCCCCGCCCATCTGGCAGTGAGGGCGGGGTTTTCGTGCAAGGACCCTGTTCCGAGCGCTGTGATTGGCTGGGAGCGAGCCGTCTGCGGCCCCGCCCCCGGGGGCGGGAGTTGTTGCGAGTCGCGGGTGCCCTGCGCTCAGTGTGAGCCGAGCGGCTGCAGGGATTGGTTCTCAGTGTGCCGTCACCGAGGAGACCGGGCATCGGCAGCCACGATCACCAGCCAGCGGATCTCAGGGCAGCGGGGGCGGCGGGCATGGAGCCGTGAGGGGCCCGGACATTATCGGAGTGAGCGGGGATATTACACAGCGCTCCGCAGCCGGGCATGGCCAGTTCGGATACCTAACGGAGCTCGGGATTGGGTTCGGATATTGCTCGGGAAAAGTTCGGCTAAGCTTGGATCCCTGGTGAAGCGGCGGGAGCGGATGGAGGGTCCCTGGCAACTGCTCGGGCTCCTGCTCGCCGTGTGCAGGGTGTGCTCGGTGCTCAGCAAGAGCCTGGAGCCGGTCACATGGAACTCACAGAACCCGCGGTAAGGAGACACCCGGGACTCGCTCATAGTGTACTCAGCATACTCAGCGCTGTGCCCAGTGTAACCAAGCCCGCACCGTGTACCCAGCGCTGTGCCCAGTGTAAATAGCATACTCAGCACTGTGCCCAGTGTAATCAGCATACTCAGCGCTCTGCCCTGTGTAACCCAGCCCGCACCGTGTACCCAGCACTGTGCCCTGTGTACTCACCCCGCACCGTGTACCCAGCACTGTGCATTGTAGCACTGTATACTGACAGCCACTCTGTGTACTCTGCACTGTGCATTGTATACCGGCTCTCTCACTGTACCGTGTATATCGGCACCCCTAACTGTGTGCTCCTCACTGTACCCCCTCTTCCCCTCCCACTCCCCCCCGCACAGTGTACCTATCACTGTACCCAGCATCTCATAGTGCACCCTGTGTACCCCCATATTAAACGGACTCTCCTATAATACCTACTCTGTGTAACCCCTCTCTGTACCCCGGGAGCCCCTCACACCCTCATCCTGCCTCGCCTGTTAGTTTCCCGGGTACTAGCTCCCTGTGCTCACGGTACCCCCCTTGCTCCTACTGCTTTTTAATGGCCTCCCTGTACAGCCAGCTAGTACTCCACAAATACCCCAGGAATACTCCTCCTAATAGTACACCCCTCCCCTGCACCCCATAGTCTCAGTACTCCAGCCATACAGACCCTCTGCTCCCAGGCTGTTGAGGAGAGGCTTTCCCTCTTACTATTAAACATTTACTCCAGTACTAAAATGTTTTATCTGCAAATGGGCTATTTTGTGTTTTTTGTTTTTGTTTTTTTTTTCATAATTTTGTGAGTCCTCACAATCTCAGTATATTCCCTTTTACCAGAAATGCGATTCTACAATTCTTTCCTGTGAATACCCACATACTGGGGTTAATAGCCCCCTTTCCTTCCAGCCAGTGGCCTGGGGGCACATTACTCTGGGTCTGGTGAAGTCACCTTGCTGTTTAGAGGCATAATCTGAATAGTCTAGTTTTTTTAATAGTTTATGCAACCACCATAGCCAGTTGGATGCATTTGGATGAGCGCCTCTCTAGACCTACTTTTCAGTGTGTTCTGTTGCATAAGATTGCCATTATTTTATCATGTTGCATTGTACTCTTTGTATTTCATGCAACACAGATAAGGCGGACAGTCTCCCATAGCTTTTTAATATCATAAAGGTCCCTGTGATGGCAGACTTTATTGCTATGATGTAGAGGTGCTATGGAACTGAAAGTACTCTTCCTTTCTTCTAATGTTAATTTTTGTAGGATTTGTTTGATAAGCTGTCATTACACAAAAGGCTTGCAAGTTTGGAGGTGACCATTAAATTCTGCGGAGTGACAGTGAGTCATTGCTAGGCAAAAAGAGACCTGGTTTTGCGTAGATCCATCCCCATAATTTTTTTTGCCACTTCATTTCGCTTGTGTGGAAATGTGAAATGTTTGGGTTTTTCTTGGCAAGTTTCTTTTGTTGGCAGAGTATTTGTTTTATGAATGTGGATATGGCATCTATTTAAAATGTTCCTTAAACAAAACTTGTCTTGTATTCAAGAATGAATTCCTTTTGAAAGTCATGGAGGTATTTTGTGTCCATCAACTCTCAGACCCAAACAGATCTTGGATTATATTCTAAACATTGAGCCGATTTTAAAATAAAATAAGTGTGTATTCGAGTCTGTGGTATTTCATAGTTATTTATTCTTCTCAATACTGAAATTCTGTAATGGTTTTTATTTGGTTTAATTTTGGTTTATTGGAGGTAAAGAGCTAAAGATTTAGATGAGGTGCTACAGTCCATAATTATGTGGTGGATGATTTAGTATTCACATTCAGACTTTGCCCTCAAAGGACTATCCTTAGAATGGAAATCTAAAATGTAGTTGTAAGAAGTGTTGAACAAAGAACATATCTAGAGCAGTTCAATCGCTTGACATTAAATAGACTATTTGTAGAGTTTTAGAAGGCATTTTAGACAGGCTGGGTTTTGTGGTGAGTTGGATGTGACCTACACCTCACCTTGCTTTCCTTGAATGGGCCTGTTCCAACCAAGCCATCTTCTGCTTAGTGGTATTTCATTAATCCATACAATGCCAGATGACCAAACCATTGTCTACTTGTAAACGGTTAAGTGTGTCCCAGTTATGGAGTTTGAGGAGCCTTAAAATGCAGAAAAATTTGAAATCTCAAGTTTAGGAAAAAGTGTTGTACAATTTACAATATTAATAGAAAATTAAGTTTTGATGTCTAATGTCACTGAAAGTTTGTCTGCTGATCTACTAAAAAGTTTAACTATGTTTAATTTACACCACTATGGCGCTCCAGCCTAACTGGGGCTTGACATCTGAAGGATTTATTAAGACAGTGAATTAACCGCTGTTATTAAATGGTTTTCAGACACACCCCACCTGATCCCCAGACACAAAATTGTCTTCTAGTGCTATTTTAAAGTGCACTCGCCCCATTCCTATTTGGGATTTGTTAATTATAATTTTTTCTGCTAAAGCGATTTTCAACTCCTTTGTTGCTGTTTGGGCATGTATCACACAGTTAAGCATTCCTCCTCGTTTAGTGTACCCAATATTAATTTTTGTAATTTTTACTTAAAAACTACATTGCAAAACAAAGAATGCCCTGATCCTGCAATGTAGTTTGATGTGCTTTTCCTTAAGTGAAGGAGAGCAAGAGGGTGTTTTTATTTTTATTTTTTTTATTTTTATTACAGCACATATACTCAGCCTGTTGTTGACCTTCTCAATCTGACAGTGGTCTCTCCACGTCACACAGAACTACTGCAGTACGTTCCTTTTTAAACCTCGGACTGTGTTCTATAGCCATCCTATTTAGGCTTTTCATAAACATGAAGGCTCGGAGTCTGTGATTACCAGATCTGCTTGTTAAAATTCATTCTACAAACAATCCTCAAACCGTTTCGTAGCAGGGAGCTTCAGATATGTTTGATTGTTACAGTTTGTTTTAGGTGAACACTGCCACCCATTGTGATGGCAAGATACAATTTAAGAATATGTATAAAAATCTTTAACCGGTAACTTAGACTTTAAAATATACCGTGTGAATCTAGGGCTTCTTTTTGAAAGGATCTTAGTAATAATTTGAAAATAAACCTGTCCGCTGCCAGAGGGAGCTGTAACAACCTCTAAGAGTACTGCTGCTCCTTCTGCTAATAAACAGTGATGGCTGGGAGATCAACATACCTCTCTGTGCATTTTGTTAACACACTTTCACAGTTAAAATGAATTGGGTTCTTAGGAAACTAGCGCTTTGTTACGGTTAAGTCAAAAATTAGGGTTTAATTTTAAGTTGGCAATTTAACCCTCCAATCTTTTTCCTGTATGCTTTGGTTTAAACTTTATTTTTTTTTTTTTATTTTTTTTTAAATCCCCAAATTCTGAAATAAAATTGGATGAATTTTAAATGATTAAGGCTTTTAAAGATGGGATATAAGGCCCAGGTGGTTTTTGTATACTTTGTATTTTTTATTTTAATGACTGGCAATGTTCTTTCTCTTTTATACTTTTACAAACAGGCGGTCCATCTGTTTGGAAATATTATTTTTTTATAAAGTGCTAACAGTATTCTTTGAAACAGGACTCTGTTCTCTGCTTTGGCCGGTAAAACGCTAAAAGATTTAGAGTAAATTTGTCTTGCTTGTTAATGTGATGTGTTCTGCTTTTCGCTCCTATGCCTTCTTAATGATTGAGCTGAATACTACCTAAGAACTATTGATCTATTTAAGTGTAGATATTACTGTCTCTGCCAGAATTCGGGGGGTGGACGGGGTGCTCTTACAAAGCACAGCTGCAAGGCATCAAAATCGCAATGTGCTTTTGCCTAATTCCATCCTCTTTAACATTTTGACATGTGTTAACACCTCCGTGTTTAGGTGTCCACTCTTAACTGTACTTGAATAGTACCCTGCTTTCAAGATTTTTTGCTTTTTCTTTTAAAATTGTAGAGCCTTTTGGTTAGTTGCCATAAGTGCCTGCTCTACCGTTTGTGCCCTCTATATTTATTAGCGATAGCCCTGGTAGGAAATTGAGTAAAATTATGTAACTGCCTAGACTAAAAACTGTGGCAAAGTTTTTTTTTTCATGAAAAAAATTGATCTTATTTATTTTTTGCGCATGAAGGCTAGGTCAGTTCTTAAGAGAAATTTTCATAAAACCTGGTCTTTGTATTCAATCTTGTCACTTTACTTTTGAGGGTTCTGGATTTTTGTAAGAATAATAGTATTTTAATTTGTTAGCGTACCTATAGTCAAGGTTTCATTACTTTGAAAGGCTTTACTGTTCATCCAGAATACTTTTGTGCATGTTTCCTAAATGGTTTAACTGACTGCAACGGATATTTTTGTGCTGACCAATTATAAAATTTATGATAAGCACATAAAAATCTCCAATATGTTGTGAGGTACCCATATATTCCATAATAATCCTGGGAATAAACTAAAATTCTCAGGTTTTTTTTTTCTTTAAAAAAACTAAACTTTTTTTTTTTTCTTCTTCTTAAGCATTTCTTAGTGTGTATTCCCTCTTACTTTTAGTTCCAAAACAGGTGACTAAGTATCCGGGTAAAAGTTATTGCTTAATTCTTCACTAATTAAGCATTAAGGTGCTTAAAAACTTTGTTAATTATTATTATTTTTTTGTTAAAATAAATTATGTTCAAGGGGCCAGCAACATATGTCAGTGACAAAGTATTAAGCACACCCCAGAAATAATCATACTGTATTTAGATGGTAATATTGATCTAAATCTACTGAAAAAGAAATATATGATAAATGTTTCATTTAGTAGTCTAACCAAACTGTATTTGCATCTAATTTTCTACACTTCCCTGAAAAGAAACCACTTTGAAACTTCTTTTATTACACATATTTTATATATAAATATATTTCCATTAATTTGAGTATTTGTGCCCACAACCTGCTGTTTATTCAGCGGACTACTTTACAAGTCTGTATGTAGGACACATTGAAATGTCAGGAGCTTTTGGGGCATATAATTGTGTAGAACAGTTGTTACTACAGTGAAACCTTTTAACGCAATAACATATAACCACTAGTGTGTCTTTTTTTTTTTTATTCTTTTTTTTTTTTTTTACTTTCTAATGTTGTTTTTGAATCCAGTCTCCATTTTCCTTATCAGTTATATTGATGGATCCAGCTAGTTTTTGTGGCGATTTATGTTGTTTGATAGAAGGATCATAGCCATGTACAATAATTGTGAAGTTCGGTGCACTATTTTGTGTTAAACAGTCCATCAGGAGACTTTGAAAGTGTAGCAGATTTAACCTTTTAGTTGCCAAAGTAGTATTGGTAAACTGACATTTGTGTCTGCCTCGGCAGGCAGTAACCACTTGCTAACAAATAGGACACAGCGTTGTTCGATATGCCATGTATAAGGTGACGGTTTAGGAAGAAGTGACATTTCTGCTGCTGTAATGGTTTTTGTCTCGGTTGTGGTAAATAAGACATTAGGCTTATGGTAATTACATTGTGCTGCGTTAGCAGTAGGATTGCGTTAGCAGTAGGATCGTTTCTCTAACAAGGGCTCATTTGCAACAGTGACTTTTTATTTCCCTCCACCCTTATTTCACTCCAGCAGCACCTGGATTTAATGGCTTCAGCTCTCATTTACAATGCAGGTTTATTTTGTGTAGTCTGTTCCTCCAAAATGCTTTGCATAGCAACTAAATTATACAGAGCTCCAAGACTGACAGATTAATATTCAACTTGTCACTCTCCCAGGTAGCTGGGGCTTTATAATTCACACTACTCTTTAGAGGCGAAATGCAATAAGGCACCCCAGGGGATATGAAACCTTCCTACTCAAGCATGTTATGTGCTAAAAGGATGTGACAGATTCTACCATGCAGACACTCCATGCAAACATGCTTCACCGCATGCTGTCTGGGGGATGCATTGAGTGTGCATTTTGGGATTTCTTTGCAACAGTCCTCAATAGTGGTAGCGTTGTTCAAGCGACTGATTTTTCTGGTTTTCTTTTTCTTTTATATTTTCCTATCTTTCGTAAATCTACGTAATGTATTTTGTTTGCCTATTGGTTTTAAAATCGACCTATTTAATAGCCTGGGTTAGATTAGTGTCATCTCGTATCTTTCCTCTGTTCAGATATTAAAGATAATTAGTGATTCCAAGGTTACACAACAGGTAACTGATTTATAATGCCTGAAACGCAATGTCGGTGCCCTGCCTTTAGCGCTCAAGTCACTGAGTTTTGTACGATTCTGAAATGGGTTCTGGATGCTTACCTTGAATCTTAGTTAAAAATAAGCAAGTGTTTCCTAAACTTAATTCAGATTTATAAAACTTTTTTTTTTTCTCCCCCCTCAGTGTTCCTTTTCCGCTTAGTCATTTTAATTTATTTTGCATTTCAATCTGCAGAGTGAGTTATTGACATCATTTGGCACTTTTTTTCCACTTTGTTACATATGCCCTTTTATCGGGAGTATTGCTGTATTTTATGAAAGTAAATTTGAAGCAGATTCTCTTTAGAAATCAGAGACCCACTTAACATTCCTTTGTTAACAGGGCAACTTTCCCTATGAGGGCCTACTAGCTATGGTATATTGGTAATGTACAGGGGAGCAGTGCTTGTATTATTAGATCAGCTGCTCTAATATTCTGGGTCAGATTTGCCTCTGCTAAATTGGCTGAGGAAAGCAGGGTTTTCATTAATACATCAGTAAACGGGACTCCTGGCTGAGAGAAATTAAATTAGAACTTGCTTGTCCCTTGTGGTCCATGGACCTCCTGCTGCCCATCCCTTATCTGTGATAAGCTCCCAGGTAGTATAATATAATTGAGCTGTGCTAGTCACAGATAAGACTGTTGAATCAGCTGGAGCTGTGTGAAGATGCACAGTACCATTCTATAGTCGTGTAACCTTTCCCTACTTTTTAATTTAATTTTGTTTTTCCTTCCACACCAGAGCAGCAATTTTGATGTGCTTTTGTGACTTTCTACTGAAGCGCAAGTAACTGTGCTATTTCTGTAGTCTGTCTTTCTCTGCTGTAGAATGTCACTGCATACCTATTCTGTCCCAATTTTGACCTACCAATCACTTGGCTTTCATGCTGTGTCTGTATGATTTATTTATTTATTTATTTTGAGTTTCTTCGTTTTTATCCTCCAGGTAGCAACGTGTATGTGTTGCTTGCATAAATATTGAATAAGTTGCGTACATGATAGCCGGCTAGACTTTTTGTGCATTTCTTATTTACGTTGTGCAGGCTAAATGTAATCAGCTCCAAATCCCTCTGCCTACAGCAGCGTTAACAGATTTTATATGCTAGGGGAGACTCTTGTTTGAGACTGTTTCACCCTAGTTAACCTTATGCGATAATAATGTTTAAACAGCAAGTTATCTTTCAAAAATAACAGTCTTATCAGCTGTAGAGTGCATGTCCAAACACTAGTGTGCTGGTCCCTGTTATAGTTACATGTGCTGGGAGCTTGTTTTAATGCTTCATCCGACAAAATCTTTTATCTGGAATAATTTGCGCATTAAAATCCATGCAGCTGGGATTGCCTCCTTCCCTACATACTCTTACTATGTGTAACCAATTCACTGCTAAATCATTTCTGCCCTGTGCGTGCTTTCAACTAATTAATTATAAATCCACTTCTAGAAAACTCCTTTTTTTAATGCAATTTTTTATAATAAGGGAAACTTTAGTTTGGTTTTTGAGGAAACCCTGATTTATTTGTATTTTATGATATGTGGAAATTTGTAACAAAGCTGAGCAGCCATTTTGCCTTTGAAAAAACTTTGTTTTTGTCTTCTTTGATTTGTAAGGTTAGTTTTTTGTTAACAATCACTTTTGTATGGCACTAACTTTCTAAACATTGGAGAGAAAAGGGTTCAAATACAGTTGTCAGTAACTTTTAGAGACTCTACAATATACCGGATTCTTCTATACATCCAGTGCTTGAACCGGTTGCCAAGTCATTGGATTTTAATGACAGATTCACGTGTCTCCATACTTGCAGTTGGTAGACATATTTGGATTAAGTCTGTGAGCCAGCCTGACTTTCTGCAGAGTCTGTGGGCATACCGCTTTCTTGGTTCCCATAAAAAGTATTCAAAAGATGAAGTGTTGAGAGTAACATTTTGAAAGCTTTTGGCTCCCAGGCTCCTGCAGTTTGTCTGTTATTCTGTAAGCTCTATAAAATGGCTGCAGAACTTGCTATGGAGTTTTTCATACTCTGAGCATTATTACGCAGTGCTGGCTATGCGGAGCCTGTCTCTGCTTTTGTTGTGCTTCACACGCACGTCTTGTTTTTTGTGCGTGTCTGAGTGCAGATATCCCAAGAGCTCTAGTCTGTAGCAACTTGTGTCATTATTCTTTTACTGCAGGAGATCCCTCACCTGACTTACTGAGCTCTGTCTAGAAAGAAGCCCTCAATGCCATTTGGAAAATCCATTAGCAAGACAGAGCTTCTGCCAAGACAGAAAACAATAAAACAAAGCATCAAGTTGTAAATGTGTTAATTAGTCTTGGGACCTAGCAAGCTGCACCATGGCAGATAATGAACTTTCCTGAAGTGTGCTGCTATCTGTGTGACTCTCCAGTTTCCAAATGGTTAAACATTTTCTGTAGTGTAGTTTTAGTTTTGTTTAACCTCCCTTGCAATTGAATTTTAGGATGTCCGTTTGCTCACTGAATAAGAATAGTCTTGTGTGTTTGTGCCACAGGCTTAAAAATAGAACATTACATATTTTCAGTGTTGGCTGTTCGTTTTCTTCAGCAATTTCTAACACAAAGGGGGAGATTTATCATCGTGTCTGTGAATAATCTACGCCTTTTCTGGGATTTTGTGTCTGTCGGGAATTGGTGTTCTCGCTGTTCACTTTATAGGTTTTCTGTACATTTTGTCAGTTTTTTTTTATTTTGCTATACTTTGCTATTTCATTTATTCTTTACCCCCTCTGCCCTTCTTGAAAAGTGGTTTATTTTTTTTGGTTTTTTTTCCATTGTAGTATGCAAATCAGTTGAACATATAGTATTTTTAGTGGGCCATAATTGTCGAAAAGCAGAAACCTTTCCGACTATAGAAAGGATAAAAAGTACACTTTTTGGATTATTTTTTTATTTTTTATTTTTTTTAGAACATTGATAAACTGCGGCAGACTTTTGAGTACTTCTCCCCATTGAAAAACACTTTTTGAATCACTTTGCTAAATCTCCCCCAAATATATCTGGATCATGAAACTTAAAACCATATGAGGATTTGTTAAAACCTATATTTGCCTCCTATAAATGTTAACATTTTTCTTTTCTCTTGTAAATTCAAAGAGACCACAGGTAATTTTAGAGGCGTTCACTAAATACTGCATTTCAAGTCTGTTTAGCCAAACTGGAGAAATCACCATTTCAGGTACATTCAGTTTGGCCATTTTTTCTTAATCACTTTAAATTCTCTACAATTCATTCTATAGTAAATAACGTGATTAATGTAACAAACTGAGGATTGAAAAAAACACGACCGCAATATTTTTCATTTGAAATCTTTTGGACATCCCAAAAGTCCTGAATTTGCAGCCTATCTTAGTGATGGACATTTTAAACTCCTCAAAGTCTCCATTACATAAACTGGCTTACCGGACGGACTCCAGACTAGGTGTGTTGGCCTCTCTTATTGTATTTTTAGTGCATGCAGACAAATGGTTAAATCATTTAGTATCTGATTACTATGCTCTGCTTTGTCAGCTTAACCATAAAGTTCTGTAAAAGCCTGCTTTATAAAGTAAAAAAAGGGGATTATCCATAGTGGCGTGTTTTATAAGCTGCTTGTATTAAGTGTACTAGTTATGCCGCTCTCATCTCTTCTGGTTATAAAATGTGTATTTCTATTCAGCAACAGGAAGTGCCTGGGACCACCACTTACATATAAATGGAATGTGTCTATCTCATATATATTCTTTTCTTCAGATTTTAGTTTCTTTAAAACGTATTCTGATTTATCACTGTAATTTATTCCGTATTGACTTCAAAATCAAATTTTCGTGACTAGTTATGACTCAATCACCCCTTCCTCTCAAAAACATGGAGTATTTCATAAAGATAAAATCTTTATGAACTACTCACATTGACTGTGAAGGTATAACCCAAAGTAGTGACTTTCTTTGTATTTTTTACTCCGTTGGCAAAAGGCGGGGCTACTGCCGTCAAAATTTGTCAGTTCCCCCAGCCGTCACTAGTGACAGCTGTCAGGAAAAAGGTATTGTCTGTGCAGGCTCCCACGGGATCCACCATCAACATCAGTGTTCTACTCTTGCTCATGCGCGAAAGTAAAGCACTAACGCGGGCTTCTGGCAGATGACTCGCCAAGTACTGAAGAGGATCTTTCAGATGGTGATGGTGGTGGCTGTAAGGGACAGCTTCAGATAAGTATAATCTGCCTGCACCTCCAGGCCACTGCATACTATGCAGTGATGTCACCATTACAGGTCTTTGTCACCTTCTTGGGTCTTTGTAGATTTTGTAGAGCTGCTTTTAACAAATGTTGTGTTTTTTTTTTTGTTTTTTTTTTATTTTTTTAGCAGTGACTCTTACAAAGACTCATATATGCATTAGATACGCATATGGGGAATTTTTTTTTTTAGCTTTCCCTAGATTTTTCACCCTTATATTTACGTTCTTTGATAGGCTCTTCTAGTTAAAATACATATGGAAATGCAGTTTGAGGTCCCTAGCAGTTTCCTGTGTAGTAATGTATGTGATCATTCCTGGTTCTTTAATAGCTGTGGATCTTGGGCTGCCCTTTGTAATCCTTTTTAAAGCCCTCATCGTCTAGCCTGAAACAGTGATTGTGTATTTAATCTGTTAGCCCCAATTTGAGGCAAGTCCATTTTTTCATTTTACTTCTATGCATGCTGAATCAGATTTTTAAGCTGCCTAACGCACATAGGGAAGTTGTCGAATCAAAAAGAGGGTTTCAGTAATGCATGTGTGGGTGCTGGAAACACCCCTATTGTATAAATGATTTTTCAGGATTTTGTGTCCGAGCTTTTCTTATTGGTTTGCATTGACGTCAGTACTGTATTGTCACAAGATTTGATGTCTTGGCTAGAAGTGGGAATCTATTTTAAAGGTTAGATATTGGATGTAATTTTTAAGGGGCCAGCTCTGCTTTGTCCAGCAACCTGTCTTTATTCTTCTACTGAAGATTGGTTTGCTTGTTTAACCCTTATGCTGGCTGTTTGCGCTGGACTTGGCATGTGAAAAGTAGGGTGTATACTGCAGCTAGAACACTTCTATATTATACAGGCAGTTTTTCCAAAGACCACTGCGTAGGTTACTCCTAAATATCCAAATATTTCAATTGTGAAGATTAAGAAAAAGCTGGAATTATTATAGAAATAAACATTTACGGTAATACAGATGCATTTGTTAAAGTTGCTGGGATTGCGTACTCTGGTCAATGTAAGACCTTTAATAACATACATATTGCTTTTGGAGCAAATAAGTCGCCTGTGTTTTGTTTTAAGTATGCTGAAGGTGGATTTGTTGGTGACTGAATTCAGAATGGCAAAATGTAGGTTCGAATCGCGGATTATAGGAAAGAAGGAAAAAAAAAAAACAAACTCTGCTGTAATCACAACGTGGCAGGTTTTTTTTGGCCTGCTTTTTGCCATTCAAATGTAATTCAGTGTTTAGTGAATAATCCTACTAAATGCCAGCTGAAACGCTTCATTTTAGATAATGGTCCAAGTTACTTTGATTATACATTTCATTAATTGTTTTTTATTTTTTGTTTTTTATTTTTTTTGTGTGTGCGTGTGTGTTTTCTGTGTTTTAGAAGACACTGCATGGATGCTTAACAGATACACAATATTTGCTAGTGGAGTTTGATGTGGCATTTGATAAATATTGAGACGTTGGAGGGGGCCATACTCATTCAAGGACCCAGAAGTTGAATGGAAAATATTTCCCCTTGTTGGGAGCCAGAAGCCACATTTGTAGGAGCCGTGGCTCTCCCCATCTTACATTTCTCAATCCCATTCCTATGGACAGGGGAAATTAAAACCTCCAAGAGGTCCTTCCCTGCAACTGACTGGAACATTCTTGCTTTGCAAGAGTAATTTTAACATGTCTCCTAAATATTATTTTACTTTTCTAGGTGTCAAATTTTAGATTTTGGCCAATTCTTTTATATATCTGTATATTAACAGTGGTGTCCCCACCCCTCCTGTGACTACTAGCCACTAGTATATGTGAGAATTATTGGATAAACCTACTACATGAACATATTTTTCACTGCTGTTACTTTTGTTTTGTTTTTGTTTTTTCTGGGTATAATTTCCTGTTACTGGAGTTACACCAAGACCTTCTTGCCTCCATGTTTTATGCACATCCATTAGTCTGCTATTGTTCTTGTCAATAAAATTATCTGCATTCTCAGCAGTTCTGGTCCTCTAGCTGACAAACAAGGATGGCAACATACTTAAGAGACATTAGTGTCACTGCGCTTCTATGTGCATTCTTTTTATTTTTATTCTTCTTATTCAAAGTTTACAGTACAGTTAAAACAGAGCTGCCTCCCTCGGATTTGGATTCATTTTCTGTAAAACACACTTTCAGGCTAAAACCTAACCGCTCTCGAAAGAGTTGAAGGTGAATTACTTTAAACTTTTGATGTATGTAAAAGGTTCTGCAGGCTGTTTCCTCCAGAATAAAATCAGAATACTTATACATCCTCTACACCTCACATAAGAGTGGGTGGCTAGGTATAATGCACATATATTTTATAGTCTTTATACATGCTGGTTTTAGTAAGAAACTCCTTTTTCTCTTCATGCGGCATTGTTGCACAAAAAATATTCATTATTCTAATATGGTCAATTTGTCTTTCTGGTGGTCTCTTTCGTTTTACAAAAAAGTAGGAATTTGTATCTGCTGGGAAAGCAATGTCAATCAGATTTCATATTTAAAGTAGTTTCCATTTTTTAATTATAGCAGAGATGCTAATTTCCTTGTACATATTCAAATTAACATTTTTATCTGCATGATTGATTTGAGCCATGTGGGCTGCAGTGCATAGCCTTTTGCTCTGTTTATGAACAAACTTTAATATTGCAAAGTATGTAGACCGCTTGAGGGAAGTCGACGGCCCCTCATACTTCAAGCAATGCCGACCAAAGCATTTTGTTTAATGATTTAGTCCGGGAAAAGCAATGGATGATTACCTATAATTAGAAAGCCGAACTATGCCCTGTTTTCTAAAAAAAAAAAAAGGGGGTGGGGGGGGAGGGGGATAAGATAGCATTGTAACTGTACGCATAGAGGTCTCTCTTCCACCACTCAAATGTGTAGTTTAAATTTTTTTTGAGGGAATAAATGTTTGTGGATGTTCTAACATTTATCTTCAGCCATTGTGTGATATGCTCTGGCACACTCACATGTCAGGAGATGCCAAAAACAACAAAGGTAAACCCGTTTATTCACTAAAGTGAGATTTATCGTGAATTGAAAGTTCATTCCAAGTAAATCTCAAATTTTAGACCAAAAACTGAACTACAAAAAAAAATCTCCCAAGTCACCTATACTTCCATTTCAGTTACTATGGCCTTAAACATTAAATTCACTTTGAATTCTGCACAATTCTTACATTGGTAAACACCCCGAATTACAACAGCCAGAGAACTTGTGAAATTGCTCTTGACATATCAAAATCTATGAGGGCAATTGTGGGGAATTCAAAGCTAATTTCATATTTAAGGCCAAAGTAGTCAAACATTGCAAACTTGAGATATGCATGTATGTATTTTAATTTTTAATTTATTTTTCTTGCTATATTTTTGTCTTAAATTTGAAATTCACTTCAAATTTACTTTGCAGCTCTCAATTTAGTAATTAATTCGGCGTGTTTTTTTTAATATTTTATTTATATTTTCTTTCTCCTCTATGGAGATTTAAGCTTAAATCATTGGCATCGGATAACATTTAAACTATACACTGCCGACATTTTAGCTAACACCACGTATAGATGTAATGTTAGTCTTTAAAGTGCCACCATGTCATGTTTTGCTTGACAGGTGCACTTTAAATTTAATATGCCTTAGAAGTCCCACTTTGTCTAGTATTTAATCCTTTGATTGGTGGAAAGGGAGCAGCATGTTGCTTTTACGCACCCCTCTGGCAGTCTGTGTTTTAAATATGTAAAATTCCTCTCTAATAATTCTTGTATGACACATGGAATATCCTATAGTCATTACACAGGGCTACTGTATCCCATTCCCAGTACAGGTGTTCGAAGGACAGGTGACTGTAATTTGTGTGTCGGCAGAGATTTAAAGCTGTAGTAAGAAGAATTAGGTTATTTCTATTGGAGTTGAACGGTCACGGGATTATTTATTTCTACATTTTTTTTCCCACATTCCCCCAGTGCTGCTTGTGGGTTTAATCCTTCCCAAATCTCTGCAGATGTCAGGGAAAATCCCCTGCTTGAAAGTGGAAATCGATCTGATGATCTGAGCTGAAAATGACCTCTTAATCTGCGCCTTCCATCCTGCAATTCTGTACATATAAACAGAGATTCTGGCAATCTATTGTTTGCATGGATGCATGTAAATAGGTCAGGCACACTAAATTGTCTGGCTATTTTATTTTTTTTTCCATCCCAAAATAAGTAATCTTTCACAATTTCAGTTGGTAGCGAGCTATTTTAATGTCGCTCACCATGTAAGACTGCCATGGCGCATTGCGTTTTGATTTAATATAAGATAGTGTGCCCAGCTATGGATTGGTGATCTCACCAGGTTTTACATACACAATGCCACAAACATTCTAAAACTGTGTAGTGCTTTTACTTTTTTTTGTTTTTTTTGTTTTAGATGTTGAACAAATGCATACGTCTGTATTCTGATAATGTTAAATGCCTCTGTATCATCTTATTTAATTTCCCTTTCAAGATTTGTGCATCTTGGCTATGATAATACATGTCTGTCATATCACGGTGTGTCAGGTCATGCAGGTTCTAATATACATTTGTGTGTTTTCTTATATTCTAAAGCAGAGGTAGGCAACCTTTGGCACTACATATGTTGTGAGCTACTTTGTCATTAATGCTCTTGCATCCATAATGCTGACAAAGCATCATGGGAGATGTAGTTCACAACATCTGGGGTGCTGAAGGTTGCCTACCTCTGTTCTAGAGTTTTGCCATCCCAGGGTGTGTGGGTTTGCCAGTTCTGTTTACACAAGGGATGTTTGTGAAGGCTGGACTGTTGAGGATGGGAGCGAGTTCATTTTATTGGATTAACTGTCCGTCTGTAGGACTTTTGGAACTTTGTGTGCCGGCAAGGCAGTGAGAATGAAATAGCACTGTGCTATGAAATACTGTATGTATTGGTGAGGGCTGATTGGTTTTCAACAGTTCTAGGGCTCAATAGCTGGCTAGGCCAGGTAACAGTTGCCTGTGTGCCGGTGTTTAGCAGTCACTCCCGTATTGGTCAGTGGGATGGGCTCAGTGTAACACCCTGTGGGCATAAAACGTTTTTTGTTGTATTTTGGTATGGTCAACTATGCGTTCATGCCCCTATAATGTACAACTTTTTTGTTTGGCTGCTGGTCCTGTGAGTCATAGTACATATGAGCTGGTACACTGAAGGTTTTCCATGTCTGCACGAAGGGACACAAATATAAACTGTACTAGGGTGCGTTCTTGAAATCTGAAAGAAACAAACCCTCACTTTAACTGGTATCATTGCATTTACAGGTTTCCCTTAAAATAAATTTACAATATTATTTTTGCCAAGCTATAGTACTTGGTCCGTTTCTTAAAAATGCAGAAAAGATTAAGAATATATTGTCTCAATGTAGAGGTCCTATGGATTCTGATGATTGAGCTGCTTCAATGATCCTAGATGGATGCCTGCCAGTTGTGTCGTGGGCAGGCTTTAATAAAACCCAGGAGCCTGGGACGTCTGCAGTGTTGGCATGCCAAGGTTTTCATTGTTCTGGTGAGCCGCAGCTTCTAGTAATGGCACTGCATGCTCCTGAATGTTACACAGAGATCACAGTCTTCTGTGATTTGGAAATAATTTCAATTAAAGGAGCACTATAGCATTAGAAATAAAAACTTGTATTCCGAACGCTATAGTGTACTGCACTTTATTTAAATTCAGGCCCCCTCTCCTAAATCTAAATTAAAAACTAGAAAAAAGATTTTACTGCGCTCCTATTGGAGGTTAGCAAAGTCAGATTCTGTTCTGGCAGCAGAACCACCTCTAATGGCTGTCTGGAAGAACATCCTGTTTTTGTCCTCTTAAAGGACCACTAAAGTCACCCAGGCTACTTCATCTCAATGAAGTGACCTGGGTACTGTGGTCTTGCCATACAGACATCCACTACAGGCACTTCCTGCTGCAGCAACCAAGTAGAGTAGCATTGGATTTGACAGACTCAAGAGGAGGCCATAACGCCAGGGGCAAATCAAGGGAGCATTGGTGCTGGGGGAAAATAAATAATAAAACTATATTTAAAAAAAAAAAAAAAAAATGATTTTAATTGTGAGCTGTGGGGAGCTATATAGACAGGGCTATTAAAGCATTAGGATTACAGATGCTTTCGTATTCCTTTAGAACTCTCCTGGGTCATGTTTAATTGGTATCTCGTAGCATAAGCCATTCCTCTAACCTCCTGCACTTGGACGTAAAAGCCTAAACTGAGCAATGTTGATACACATTTTTATTGATTTTTTTTTTTTTTTTAAGTGTGTTTTTTGACTTACATATTTTTCTTTTGCAAAACAAGGGTGTCTTTGTTTTTCTCTTCCTGATTCTATTAAGTCTGAGTAATGTGAGTTGTGTGAGATGACAGGTGTGCGTTGTTACCGTTGTAAAGTTGCCACTCACTTTGCCATTTATGGATGGCTTTTATCATGGGTCAGTTGAGTTTAGTGTTGAGTTTCATGGCCTTCATTTAAGAAATAGGTGTAGTTCAAGTAAAACTATGCTCGTGTGTGTGTGTGTGTGTATATAGTACATGAACATGTATGTATACATGGATTTTATCCTTCAGGAAATTGAATTTATTTTTGCTTTATTTTCTAAACTGTTTGGTGAAAGCCCTATATATCTGCTTGTGGAAAGGGGGACTATCACTTTGTATGAAAGCCCATTGCCCAGGTTCCATTAACCCATACAATCGTGCATCTCTTGACAGTATAATAGAATTTGCTTGCCTATAGCTGATAAACACACTAGATTAAAGCGCTACTATTGAAAACGCATGGTCACTAAACATGAAATCTGTTGTATACAACATTTTACTGTTCTTTTAAAAGCATAAAATAAATATCTTCAGCCTCTGAAGTCTGAAACAGCTGGTATAGTTTATTCTCCTGGAGTTGAGCACTTCAAAGTACAGGCTATTAGTCCAGTCCTAATCATAAATGCCAGAGACTTGATTTATTTTGTCCTTAACGAGGAGTTTCCAAGTCTTAAAACCAAACCCAACACAAGACAGGAAAAGTGACTTGAAGCCACCTTTTGTGTTTAAGTAGCAACACAGGATGGGAGGATTCTGACAGGGAAAATACTTGCTCTTTGTGGAACAATAGGACCAGAGCTTTCTTCCTTCGGTCTAACACATTGAATGCTGAAAGGGAAAACAGCGCATCTATGATGCTCGCTCTATAGGAAAATGGGGGGAGGAGGGGAGGATATTCCTCTTGATTGAAATGTCATTATATGAAACCTCCTGCTGAACTTTAATATAATAGTTCTTCTCTGCACCTCCTGCCCAATCTATGCTCATTCTTTTGAAATTGCTACATTTTTAAAAATAGTATTATTTATATAGCACCAACAAATTCCACAGCGCTGTACAGTGGGTATGAGTTCTGATCTGAGAGAATCTGGTATTTTTTTTTTTTTTTGCTATGTCACTTCAGCCTGGCACTAAAAAGACTCTAGAGTTACGTTGTATTTCTGCCATTCTATATAAAGCCTGGCATGTTTTGAAATGGTCCGGTAATCAATCTTTTCCTAATTTCTGTTGTGTGCAAATAGTAGTAGATTTAAGTTTGGACACATGTTTCAGACCATATGCTTTATGTTCCTAACATCCGTAATGTGATCTTAGCTTTGCAGCCACTAAATGCAGTTAATTTGAAGAAAAGGACATGTGTCACCGAAGCTCAACATGAGACTTACAAACTGGTGAAGTTTTGAGACAGCTCAACCAAATCCAAGCTCTTGAATGATGGTACACAATACTGTGACACATTTTATGTGTCATAACAAACTCGCCACGGCTCAGTCACAGGTGTCTGATGTCAGTGTTTCTTCTCTGCTGTTTTCTGCAGGAAGCAACATGGGCAACTTGTCTGGGCAGTTGCGCTGTAAGCTACATGGAATATTTCTGTGGCGCCTTTTTTTTTTTTTTCTTCTGTAAAACACTTTTTCTGACATTATATATAGTACATTTAATACTATAGACACTTAAAGGAATGCTCCCGGACACACAACTGTTTTGCTCTGCTGCCTCCTCCTTCTAAAAATCTTCAAATCTGCTCCCCAATCACAAAATGGCTTGAGGAAAAATAGAAAGTTTAGTTATTTTATGATTTGGGAGCAGCTGACCACTGCAAGTCAATTAGCAGCAATCCGCTGCTTCCGTTTTGAAAATGATCAGAAAGTGGATGTTGGAGGGGGCGGAGCGAAATGGTGATGGAAGGTAGACTTTAGGGTTAAGTCATTTGTGAGCGATTTAAGCTCCAAAGCTAAATCGGCGCCTGGAACATACTGGTACCAGAAAAAAAAACAAAATTGTAATAAAGTTGTTGTGGCGCCCGGAGCGTTACTTTAAGGGTTTGTTTGTCTATGTACAGAGACAATTTACCCTACTCCACATCATACTTTACATTGATGTGTGACCTAATCATACATGCTTTTTTCTTATTATTTCACTGTATTGCACAAAACCTTTCTACATGCTGAGGCTTTTTATTATAAATTATCAGCTTTGCATTTTTCTTTTATGGATAGACCCTAACAAGCATTACAGAAATAATACCGTGGCTAAACCAGGGAGGGCCGAGGGGTAGATCTGAAACCTCAATGTTTTGTTGGACTTGCTGCAGATCTACATGTCATAAACTTCTAGGTTAGATCCCAATCATAATTGTCTATCATGTTGTGTGTTGTAGCCATGGAGGTGAAGCGCTTAATTTTACTCCTTCATCTCCTATGCCAATTGGGTACCAAAAGAGGCCACATAAACAGTTTATCATGATATGTAATAATCGTTTCTTTGACATATTTATTTTTTCCTCCACGCAAAAAAACCCCAAACCTTTCTGTACTAAAGATTGGTTGGTATACTACTACTGCTGTGATAGTTTTGTATGCACCTTCATTCTTTTGTAATTTTATTCTTTTGTATCATCTGTAGATAATGTCAGTAAAATTTTAAATATTAAAAAATAGGGTTTTGTAGAGCAAGGATAGTTTTAAAATACTATCTGAATAACGTAGCCCTTCTGGATATCCTTTTATAAATCCAGAGCGTAACTTCCTGATTGAAGTGTTCTTGGGAATTATCTCCTGCCCTGAGTTTTTGGAGGTACAGACACTGCAGACCTCTAGTGCAAATCGCCTATTAAAATGCATTCTCTTAAGATATTCTCTGGTTTTAAGATCTCATTGTGCGTTCTCCTAAAAGATTGAGAGGTTCTATACATTTCCCTTATGTGAAAAGGTTAAGTGTATTCAGAACTGAAGAAAGAAATGCATTCTAGCCCTCCATTCTCAAGTCTGGGCATTGAATTAACTGTTCAATTAGAAATGTCATTGGTTTAATACAGTTCTTTTGCTTTTGTTGCCAGTATTGTATTTGCCCACTAGGGGGAGCAGTGTTATGCCCATGTTTTCTTTAGTCGGAAAGGACAAATCCCTTTTTTTTTTTTTTTTTTTTTTTTTTTTTTTTTTTTTTTTTTTTTTTTTTTTTTTTTTTTTTTGCTCTGCTGCTCTCGATTTATACTGTCTTGTGCACTTGTAACTATAAGCACCTCCCATTATTGGCCCATTTGTCTTATTCGAAAGCAATATCAGTGCTGGGAGAGAATCCAGGGTAATGGCAGCATGTTATGATGTCGTTACAGTTGAAGTCCTTTCATGTTGCCTAATGGGGTCTGGTGTACTCATTACCAGCCCCCACTATGAATGTGTCTATGTGTCTCCCTGTCCACTCATTATGTTTTTTTGAAATAGCTGAAGCTTACATTTTTCTCCTTTTTTTTATTTTTTTTTTCTGCAACAATTTTTTGTTCTCCGTTAGTTGGAACAATGGATATTTTGCACAGTTAACTGATGCCAGGATTGCCTTATTTTACTTCCAATATGCTTGGCCTGAAAAAGGAAGTTCTGGGTCTTTTGGGAAATTTCTGGTGTGGTCCTAGACTGCAAATCCCAAAATGCTCTGCTTTGTTTTTACTTGGCTTGATCTTAATGCAGAAATTGTAAAAAAAAAAATTGAAAATCATTCTAATTTTTTTTTTTTTTCTCCCGTCTGGTAGATATCTATGAGAATAAAAATAAAATATACAATTGAAATTATAAATATTTCGATTCATGGCACTGTTTTAATTAAACATGTTTACAAGAATGCAAGTAATGATTGGTTTACAAAGTTAAGATTTATTTTTTATTTTGTGGCATAAAACATGGAATTATTGCAGTTTTACTCTTTCAACCCCCTGTATAGTCAACAGTCTTTTGTTTGTATGTATATAATGTATGTCTCGGTCTGCCTGAGATTGGTGAGCGTTACTAAGCAAAATAGTTTCCTGCTGCATCTTTAATTCACGCTCTCTCCTTTTATTGATATGCGGAGAGACTGGGTAGATGGACAGTGACATTCTGTCTCCCCATCTTCTCTCATAGGATATTATTAAAGGGAGAGGGACTGAATTAATGGTGGCCGCAGCAAGTAGCACAGATTCCCTGGCCAACAACTACCTCCCTCAGGCAGATACCTGAAGCATGTATTATGAGAAAATGCAATCTTGAGATTCTGGAAACATCCATAAACCACTTGACCATTGATCTCATGGGTAATTATTTTTCCAGACCTGGCAATTTATATTTATTCTCTTGTAGTACTTTGATCACTGTTGCAAATTTTGTATGAATAACCTTCATATCATTCAGCATTTTGCATTTAAAGGCAAAAATACAAATATTCACTTCAGGTTTTTGACTATTGTAGTGTTGTACAGCTATATTGTACACAAATGGTTGTATTTTTCTTAGTTTTTTTTTTTTTCCCCCCTATAGGTACCCAGACCACTTCAGCTCATTAAAGTAGTCTGGGTGCAGTGTCCCTGTCCTCCTTAGTAAAACACTGTAGTGCTAAGACTGCCAGAAAAAGTGGTCTACCAGACGGCCACCAAAGGTGCTTCCTGTTTAAGATTTTGATCCTCTATAGACCTCAATGCCGTACCCTTGTGCATGTGAGGAAGATTGCCTCTCCTGCAAGGTGCAGGTTCAGGTATGTAAAACGTGTCTCTACCGGCCACTGGACCTACAGCAGCAATGTCACCATCTCGGGTCTTTGATAATTTTACAAAGTCTTCAGACTGTGACCGTTCAGCTTTAAGCATAGTTATTAGATGTAAATGCACAGGTGTATGATAGTGTCAGATTAGCGTTCTGGTTTAAAAACAAAGCCAATTAATGTAGCAGCATTCAGTCTCTAGGTTTCAAATCAATAAATATGGTATTTTATCCAGTGTTTTTAGATGTTCTCTAACTACTCTCCTGCTTTCCTCCCCAGTGTAGCTTCGGCCTTGTTGCTGGCCAGTTACGAAGGAAGTCCCCCTCTGAGTATGGGAGTGTTTGGTCTTCCCAGGACTCTTTCTTGGCCTTCTTTTATGTGTCTTGTAATCTATCCCAGCTGGGCTGCTGTGTGGAATCTGGCTCGCCTGGCCTCCTGTCCTTTCTCCCTTCTCCCTTCTAGTCTTTTGTTCCTCTGCTTGCTGTTGCTTGACTATTAACAGCTGAGGGATTTTTCCAGTTGGGAGCAGTTTACCAAACATCCCAAAAAGAATTACTTTAAAATTTGTGTCTCTTGATTTTAATATTGCTGTATAAGCTTTACAAATGATTTAATATTTTATGGCTACAATTTTACAATTATTAAATATTATGAAACCTATTTTAATATTGTCATTTTGATATACTAATGATTTTTTTTTCTTCATATTTTAATATGTTGAAAGTATTTATTTTAAAAGTTCATCCAAAAATATAAAATCATTTGGAAATGTTGTCCAAAACTATTAAATTGTGGCCTTATTTAAATATGTAGAGAACCATTACAATATTCTGTTACTGCTGTTTGTATCACATATGAATGAGTTAGTAACTTTGTTCTGATTAGTTAAACCTTTCTGATTGTTTTAAACATTTTTAGATCAGATTGCGTAATGTTTACGAAGGCTTATGGGTGTAATTCATTACATTGGTTTCAAAGGGAAAAAAATTGGAACATGTGTTGTCAAACTCTTAAAGGAAAACTCCATGCACCATAACAGCTTTATTGAAATGAAGTGGTCCGTGTGCCAGTAGATCCTTGGTATTTCCTTAACCATAGGGGTTAAACACTTTATGAACAGTTTAACCCCAAAGTTGACCATTTAGCACCGTTCCTCAATGTCCATGGTTTCTGACATTCAACTAGTGGAAAGGATTACCACTGGGCATGGATAATGCTGACTGGCTTGCATATTATATTAATTTTTTATATATATGTATTGCCTGATTTGTAGCTGTCCCAAAAATATTTTTTTGTTGGGCTACACACATATTTGAGAGCTTTGTATACTATTCCCAATTTAGAACAGTAAATATCTGACCTTGAAGTGTCTAGATTTAGTGTCTAGCATGTTCCTTAATAATGCATAATGGTTCTCAACGCCAGATATGCATTTTAGTTTGTCTCAGACTCTGTAAAGGACAGTCAATAAAAATTGGTCCATGTCTGGATCACCATTTACTTGTAGAGAGGACTCTCTAAGTATATGGGGAAAACTCCAGACTACTTGATATCTTAATGTAAATAAATACATCTAAGACAAAAAAACCTTTTGGGCATCGATCTACCATATGGCCTGGAAATGAGTGTGTTTTGAGTTGGTTTGTTTTTGTGTTTTTAATATTAAATATTGTATTGGCTTTTAAGGGCACATTACATTTATCACCAGTCTTGTCTCGAAATCCCCCTATGGACATAGAAAGAACAGTGTGATAAACTGTGATCAACTCTTTCATGTAATCTCCAGAATTGAGTGATTTATGCTTCACTTGAGATGCACGTGGTTTGCCAAACCGCACATTAAATCCCCAGTAACTGCTTGCTTTAATATTTTCCTTTTGTAACTATATAACAAAATTCCATTTGGCATACTGAGCGTGTGTGTGTATATATACAAATTGTGTGTACATGCACCACATTCTTGTGCTTTTTAAGGGGAGCCTTTGATCAGTCTTCTGGACTAGGAATACTAAAGAGAAACGCTATGAGTCCAATGGCTGCGTGGTGCAGGGAAAGTGAGTTTCAGGATGTCCCTTGCGGCAGCTGTCTTGACGCTGCTGTCTTCTTTGGCTCCTAGCAATTCATTTGTCAGTAGCCTCTTCAGTCTATGGAGAATCCCTCAAGACCACTTGTTCCTCCATAGGTAGCCTGAATCCCACAGCAGTCATTTGTGACGGCTGCTGGGATGGGCTCAAAGGTGATGGCGGAACTCTGCCTTTTAACTTTAGGCAACCTCATGGTTTGCCATAAGACACAGTAAGCCTTACTTTGATAGACTACCACTAGAGGCAGTCTTAGCACAGCAATGTAAAAACTAGTTTTTAAAACTGCAGTGTTTTATGTTGCAGGGTTAGTGGGACAGGCACACTGCACCCAGATCACCTAAATGAAATGAAGAGCCACTTTATCTAATTGAATCACTTTAATAATTAAAAGTTTTGGAAGCACAGCTTTAACCGACCCCTCCGAGCCGTCTGGATAGGAGAGCCTAGACTGGTAATTACGGTCTCCTGATGCTGTAGCATTAGGAATACAGATTCTGTATTCCTAACAATATAGTGTCCCTTTAAAACATCATTTTTAGATTTCGATATCTTGTTCAGCCATGACAATTTTTTTTTAAATGTAACAAACCTTTTACATTACAAAACTAACATAGTTGGGAAAACCTTTATATAACTACTAGTTACATATCTTCACATCTTCAAACTATGCGCGATTTATCAAACTGTAACCATTTGCTATTTCGGGTTGTGGTTAAAGCTGATTGGCAACTGGAACAGGGCCTTGCTTAAACTCCACCCATTGTCAAGATTTATCTTGACTGCTATAAATAATAGTACTCACTAGAGTGCTGAACAGAGGGGGGAAAAAAATAGACGTAGGGAGCTATATAGAAGCATATTGGATAACGTTTATTTTTATTGTTGACAGAGCCACTTTAAGTGCATTGAAATTGCGCTTATTCTGTTATTACTGTTTTTATACGGACTTTTTTAAATATATATATATATATAATATAGCTCTATGGAGTCTCAAAGCTTTTCTATTAGAATATACGTTTTCATATGTAACTTGACTAGGCAAGTAAAATGTGGCCCTTGTGCATATTTATGCAATTAGATTTTGTAATTGGGTAAGCATAAAAGATAATGTATGGAAACCGGAGCAAACTAAAATGAAGCATTGTAATTCTTTAGTTTCCCCACCTACCTGTGCGTGCTGCAGGCCCAACTGGTGACTCCAGTTTCTTCCTCCCGGCAGGTTGTGTTTTTACTGATTGTTGAATAATTGGGATCACTGCGACCTGTCAAAGGTCACAGTACGTTTCTGGTGGGGTAAATATAGTTGTTTTTCAATATCTCATTCCAACATAATTCCTTTTGTGTGGTATAATGAAACACATTATGTAGTTTGAGACATTTAAACTCCTAAATCCCAGATCTTTTCCTTTTGCCACTGCCTTGTGGTGACTGGACAAGATCTCCAAAATACACAGATTTATTAACGATATTTGAAACTCAAGAAGATTAGTCAATTTACTAGATAGTAAGCCTGTTTGAACATTGTGCTTAACCTACTTTTCCTTAACAACTTCACTATTTTATTTCTTGGTGTTTTTAAATTTTTTTTTATTTATTCCGCACAGTAAAATTGTAAAGCACTACAGAATATGTTGGTGCTACGTAAATGTCCATAATGACCGAGACCATTCAATCGTGTTGTAATCCCTAACAATTGCTCTTTTTCGTGGAACATAAAAAATGGTAAATTAAAGTCTCCACCTCCTATGTTTATTTTCATTTGTGCTCTGAACTTGTCTTGTTTGTGCTACTTGTTAGATAGCAAGCCTATTATTTTCTGTAGGAAATACAGCTAGCTTCTCTTCTAAATATTGGAAGTTGAGAATTACAAAGTGCTAGTCCTAAACAAAAGTAATAACTGCTGTAAAGACTGAAAATAATTGGCAAAACAAAGAGCAGGGATGTGTGTTTTTTTTTTTTTGTTTTTAATCAAATATGTAGGACAGGGGTAACATGTTCTCTTGTCATTAAGACTATAGGAACATGTTTGAAACTGAACCGTCTTGTATTTGGTCCTCATGAGATCTTTTTAAAATCAACCTTTACTCTCTGACCTTGGTGCTGGCCTCTTTGTTGAGGAGTCACAGGTGGGGGGTGCTGAGTGAAGAAGTGTCCCCAGGACCCCTCGCTACCCACAACCATATCAGGGATCAAAGAGCTGGAATGTGTTTGGGGTAGAATGCGGAATGTTGACCCTGATGGCTACTCCCTGATGGCTAATGAGCCAGAGGGGCTTGAATGTAGGATCTATAGTTTTCTTACATGCAAGTGATATGTGGAGCTGCTGGACCTTGCGACCTTAGAATGCTTTGGGTAACTTCTTTTCTTAAGGTTAGATCTGCTAAGAGTTGACGTGTTGGCATTAAAGCCCAGAGGTTATTCTGTATAGCCTGTAAACTAGACTGACTGTGCAGTTTTTTTGATTCAAACTTTTTTTTCCCTTTTTTTTTTTTTTCCCCCTTTTCTTTTTCTCCTCCCTTAAATTTGATGGTCTATACTTATAGACCAAGGAAAATTTAATATAGATTTTTTTTTTTTTTTCTTATTTTTCTTGGTTTTGCTGTCTAATAGAGCATAGGCTTGAAAATTTACTTGAGGATCAGATCAAAGGAGTTCTTTAAGTACCAAACATGTGTAAGAGCTATTGAAGACCACATTCTGGCACACGTGTTACTGAGGGCTTTTGTTTATTCACCTGCAGCATGTGTTTTGGGTGCACACTAGGCATGCATGGTAGTCACTGGTCAAATTGAGTGCAATGACTGTTTGAGCTATTCTGGATGCTTTTAGTCTCTGTGGCCACATTCCCTAAAATATCATGAAATGTTTTAAAGGAACACTACAAGCACCAGCCTGCAGGGAGTAAAACCCCACAGTGCTGGTCTCTGTTGGCAATCTCCACCTCCTTGTATGTTCTCAGTAAATCCAATACTAACCCATAGGACAACATTGGGAGGCAAAACACGGTTTTACTCTATTTCTTGGGAAGTGCCACTAGTGTGAGTGACCGTCCGTAGAGGCATTTAGACCATGCAAAGAAAACATTGCTGTTTTTTGCAAAATGTTTCCAAGTGCATGGTTAAAATCTGGAGAAGACATGGTACCCAGACAACCATTAATATTAAATGGTTTTGTTGTCGATTGGGTCCCCTTAAGAAAATTCACTCTCATTGAATGAGAAGAAAATGTTCATAAAGGGAAACATTGATCCTCCGTACGCTGTAGACCAAAAGCTAGACGCCCAGTCACTCCCAACTGTTGGATTACAACTCCCATGACTCGCTAGCTTGAAAGGGTCTCTAAAGTTATCCAGACCACTTCCACTCAGTGGTCTGAGTGCAGGGACCCTGTCTTTTTGACCATCCAATGTACAAAATTGCAGCTTTTTTTGACAGCCATTAGAGGTGCTTCCGCTCAAATAGCATTGAATACAATACAAGAAACACGATAACAAAAACTTGAATTTTATTCATTATTATTGCACACGGGGATAGGGGTACTTGTATAAGACTAGGGATAGGTTTGTATTTTTAATGCTATAATATTCTTGTAATGTAAACCCTACAACCCCACTCCGTAATAGGTAGTCAAACAGGGCTTAGTTCATCAGCTGATCTCTCTCTACCAATGGGTTAAGCCTTGTTTCCCCAAGCTTGGCTCAGACAGGGCTTTTGGCTTGCTATCTGCTGTAGTGGAAGCCAGGAGTGGTGCACGGTGGACCCCAGGTAAGTCAAAGCATTCTAAAACAGTTTGACTACTTACATTGGGCTCACCAGGGCACTCTTGACACCACAACCACTACATAACACTAAAAGTGGTTCTCATTCGCTTTTTAGGTTTAACTCTCTTGAACAAGCACACATGACTATTGACTTTGATTTCTTCTAAAGACATGCCTACCTTAGCATGTGATTGTTGTATACCATAGGCCTTGGCTTTTGGTGTTGTATGCTGTGTGTGGCAGAATCTTAAAAAAACAAACAAACAAAAAAAAACATTTTTATTAAATGTTATTACGTTATTATAATTTATTTATTTTTTCATTAAATTTTTTATTTTTTTCAAGTGTCAGTCAGTCAGAGGCAGGCACCCAGCTTTGCCTTTCAGCACAGTTTGCTTCATGTTTAGCTTCCTCGTCTGCTTACCTCGGGCTGGGGGACATGAAAGGACCTTGAAGTATGAAAGGGAAGGTTGAAAATTCACATTGTGTTGATTGGCTTTGTGATGCAAATTGCTATAGCGATGTGCTTTGGAAAGGTGGCAGCAATGTATTATTATTATTTTTTTTTACTTTTTAATTTCTCTTTTGTTTTGTGTTTTTTTTTTTGTGTGTTTTTTTTGGCTGTTTTTCACCTATAGAACATTCATATTTCTCCCTCCTCTAGCAGAACGATCAGCCGTTTTGAATTCTCTGCTTTAGAAAGATGTATAAGGTTGGCAGAAATAGGCCTACTACATTGCATGAGCTTATGTCATTTTTTGCTCCTTTTCTTTTTCCCTGTTGCCCCGTTTGGGGGAGCACTTCCAGTGCACAATAGACAGAACCTAATTGGATTGGAGATGCTTGCTTTCATCTCACAATGGCACAAGATCTGTTGGCGAAAAATGCTTTTCTTAAAACCTGCCGCAACTGAAAAAAAAAAATTGAAATGGCAAACTGTGAGCAAGAAGATGGCTCAGGCAACTCACATGTGGCTTTTAACCCCTCTATTGCCAGATGGTCTCTACTACTTATACTTTTTGTGCCTGATGGCGATCCTATAATTTTGGCTAGAAGATAGGTAATCTATGTCTAAAATGAAACTGATGCAGTTGCTATAAATCTGCTTTTAAGATTTTGACTACTTTCTGTAAGGAGCTACATTAAAGAGACATTGCAGGCTGTAGTTGACCTCTTTAGTTTTAAGTCAATATGGAGTTAATAATGCATATAAACCTCTACCTCCTGTATCTTCAACAGCTACAGTCTGCAACTTTTTCAGGCACCAGTAATGCATTTTTCTATTCTTCTTATTGAAAATACAGAGTGTATTTTGTAAATCCTGCCAAGCAGATGTTGATTTAATATTTAATGGAGCACTTGGCAGTTGTTTCCTTCATGAAAATATATAAATGGGGAAAAGGAACCACTGGGCAAGCTTAACTGTATGAGATAAAAGGTCAACTATGGATGCCTTTTATCTTTTTATAAAGGCAAGAGTTTAGGATTCTTGCATTCTCTCAAGGCTAGTTTGATGGTTTTTGCACAACCAAAACATTGAATTTGTCCCGTCAGAAACTGTGCACTTTCTATATGATGATCAGGCACTTAGTTGGTTAAAACAAGACTGCTAGTAGTTTTCTAAAGATTCTGCCAGGATCCCTGGATGTGGCACTTTTGCTTCTATGGTATTCTGCTTGGTTCTCCACAGATATTGCACACATGCAATGCTGGCATTTGTGATATACTGTGGAAGATGTTTGTTTGATACAAAAAGGCAAGATGTGGCTAAGTAAGCTGCTTGAAATTCCATCCAATTTGCTAGATTTTCCTAAAAAAAAATCTGTACCTACAAAAGAAATAGTAGACTTATTTTTTGTCTTGTGTAGATTTTCTGCATGTGTTAGAATTTTAATGACTTGCTAACTCTTACATTAGTTTTCCATGTAGACGGTTATTAAGAAACAACTCAAGAAATGACAGGGCCTCTTTAAGTAAATGTCTTGCGATTCTAAAATAGAGCTCCCACAATGAGAAACCGTCTCGTGTGCAACCTGTCCTAGTGATGAAGTTGATGTCGATGCCTCCATTTCTATGCACTCGCTATTTTAAAACCAAGACACGAATGAATCTCCTTTCTCACATTAATAATGTTTGTGTCTTTGTGAGTGAGTGACAGCGTAGGCTTGCCATTTTGGAGTACAGTGAGTAAGGGGCTCCCCTTTCTCAGGACTGCCGTGTTGGAGAGTTTTCAGACCTCTGTTTTATCACAGGGGAGGTGGTCCTGAGGGTCTCTTTCTCTATTCTGCCATGCAAAAGGTTTATTTCCAAAAGCTGTGCTGCTGACCCCATGCTCTGCTCTTGTCACACCCATTAACCCCATCAGCTGTCGCCCTTTCTTAATCACATGCCAAAGCAGATGAAAGCACAGTGCGCGCAAACTCCTTGCCAGACAGACCTTTCTATAACCGGCACTGATGATCTCATCCGGTCATCTGATGTCATGTGCTGTCGGTGTTGTAGGCCTGTGAATCTTTCTGCTTTACAGGCTCATGCAAATAGATCGTCACGTGGGCCAGAATATAATTTGCTTTATTTAGTATCTGCATTTGAAAATCCATTGCTGCCATAAAACAAACCCATATTTTCAACCAAGCATTTTATATACAGCTTCCAAAATCACTTTTCTGGTTTAATAAATTGTAGGAGAGGTTTAGCCAGGCAGACACAAAGTCCATTATCTTCAGTTACTTAGTTATGCTTGTAACCTGCATGCCTTCCATCCCATAGCATGGCTGCCTTAAGGGGCCGCACCTCCCTTCCGAAGTCCTTTTAGAAAACCCTGTCTTGTATTATTTTTTTTTAGGCTCTCAAGAGAAGGTAGGGGGCTTTGTGAAATTTGTCATGGTCCCTGCACTTTATCCATCTTCTTAAAATAAAGAAAACTGGAAGGGTACTTGGGGGGGGTTGGATAATGCCCTGCTCCCTCCTCCTGTCAGTCTTGTTCAGAGCCCTCTCACTCTCAATGAGTTTTTGAATAGAAATCTGCAGTAATTGGATGCAAATTATACAGAAGAAGCCTGAGGCTGCATGGAATTCCTATGGGGGGGGCAAGGGTATAATTAAGATGGAAGGAAAGCTTGAAGAAAGGGGTGGGAAGAGCATTCATTTGCTTTTTAATCCTTTTATTGTTTGCGAGGAGGTGTGCAAGTGTAGCCTGCATGGGCACCACACATACCCATCTGTGTAGAAGGAGTTAAACACCTGGCACTGTGTGTAAGATGATGTACAGTGGTATAAGACTCTAGGTATAGCTGCTTCTTTAACCCTGTATTGCTACGAAGGGCATAGAAAGGTAATGTAACTGTTGAACTGTTTGCTGTGCCCTCTGCACCTGCCTCATATTATACATACACAACAGCTCTTTGTGTTACAGGCTATGCGTTAAAGTTGACCTCTCAACTTAAGGAACATTACATTAATCAGTGGTGCACAAACGGCCTATGTTAAACCGCTGAACCCCTTCAAGTTAAGACTTTTTTTTTTTTTATATATTTTTGCACGCCTATTTATCGCCTGTGTTTGCAACACTATACGCAAGGTTCCGCTCTTTCATTGGACTCTTCTTTTAATGTTTGTTAATGGTGTAGGAGTCAGGAAAGCATGATTTGTGATTTGAAGGAAAAAAATTTTAACCTATAAATCTTACATTAGAGGAACACTATAGGGTCAGGAATATAATTTTATTTTTTTTCCAGCACAACACGAGTTGGCCGCGCTGACACCGCCCCAATCTGCCTCCTTGGATGAAATGATCAGAATTGGGGGGGGGAGGGGGAGAATGTTGCACTGCGCAGCTTAGAATCTCCTCATAGAGATGCATTGAATCACTGCATCTCTATTGGGAAAGTTCAGGGCCTACATGCAGAACGTAGAGACGCTAAACGTCAGTGCTGAATGTTGTGCGGTACTGACCCAGGAAACGCATCTAATGGCCATCTCCGTGACTGTCACTGGAGGTGTCACTAGGAAGCAATGTAAACACTGCTTTATCTCCGAAAAGGCATTGTTTACATTAAACTGCCTTCAGAGACTGACTGTACACCCCAGAACAACTACATTAAGCTGGATTTGTTCAGATGACTATAGTGTCTCTTTAAGGAAAGTCATACGAGAACTACGTATCATGTGTTTATCTGATATGCAAGAACCTTGTTTATGTGCTAACAATTTCTGGGCTACAATAAAGGTTTGATGTTTGAATAGTAGTGATCATTACAGCTTAATTCTATGTAACATTTAACTAAAATGATCCAATGTGTACAGGGTTCGTCACGAAAGTTAGAATTGTAGATAATTTTTCACATTTAAAGCCAGGATAGCCAAACTGGAAAAATTCTCAAATCTATGCTTCCAGTTCAACTACTTTGGTCTTAAATTTAAAATTAATCTTGAATCCTTGACAATTCTCACTACTTTAATTTTTTTTTTTTTTTTTTTAAGAGTTATGTTCTAAGGGGTGGATACTACCTATTGATATTGGTATCTCCACCTGAATTACCTGTAATATACTTCATATGAGTCAGTGCTGGCACACAGACAGTGTAAACAAATAAGTGCTGTATAACAGCTGCTAAATGTGCTCCAAAACACTAAACTGCTTCTGTGCAGTGCTGTCTGTTAAGGGGTTACCCTGCTTGGGAGAGCATACCCCCATGTGTTTGTTTTACAAGTTGCAGAGGAACTTCCCATTCTGCAAACCACCTGGGTACAGCTTCTGTCTGATTGTTGGCCAATAGTCAACATGTTCATTAGAAAGGGCAATTATTAAATCTTGCCATTTTATAGTGCCTTGTGTCTGTTGCAGGTCTGAGGGAAAGGACACAAGTAAAATACAGCCTTTTTAAATTTCTCATCAAATCTGGATTCTCTTAAACTTCCTTATGTCATGGCCTACTTTACATGAGAACTTTTTATTTTTATTTTTTTATTTAATACATCTCACTTGCTTGTGTGGGACACTGCAGATTCAGTGTTTTTTTTTTTATTTTTTTTTATTTAAAAGAGGATTTACAATGTCAAAACAGTAATTTCATGCTAACATTGTGTATGAACGGAGCGTAGATGTTTAATACGTATATTATCTGCAGTATACAATACATTTTGCATAGTGTAAAGTATCTCATCCTCTAAAGGTAACATTGGACATTTAGACAGATGAACTTTCCATAATTAATGCAACACATAGTCAAAATTTTACATAGTTCTAAATCACCTGTCTATAAATTATACAGAAGGGAAAGCAAATGTTTCCCCTTTCTAAGATTTATTTTTATTTTTTTATTTTTTTTTCATTAAGGTTCTGTAGAGTTTCTCCATATCATTACCCAGGTAGGGCACTTACTGGTTAACAAGGTGTAATTTGAATACGGTGTTTACACCATGATTCTGACAAGAGCTGTAGCGTTCACACGAGGAACCAGAGCAGAGAGGTGGGTCTGCACACCTGGTTTACATGCTTATTGCTTTGGTGTGAGGAAAGGCATGCACAAACAGTACAGATTCATTGTGTGCAATACACACACTTGTTGTGAAATGTTTTACACGGTAGTCCTATCGGCCCAACTCATAACAGAGAAACCGTGGTGGGAAGCATCCATTTCCTCTGGTTTTACCTGCTCTGCTTGGATAGAGGCTACCAGACCAGAGATGGAAGCCTTTCTGTCTGAGTTACACCACAGCACTAGTCAGCAAAGAGTTGGTTGATTTTTGTGATTTCGGGAACAGCTTTGCAGGGACAGTCCGTTCCATTTGACTAGAGGAAATATTAATCAAAAATTCCAACAAAAAAGTAGAAATTTCTGGTTAAATGTTCACTTTATTGGGTAACCCTGACAATCTAAAGTAAATTTTGAAATCGAGGTAAAAATAGCCAAACTGGAAAATCCTCTAAGTTCGTTATGCTTCCAGTTCCACTACTTTGGCCTCAATTTAAATTCACGTCAGGTTCACTTTGATTTGTCACTTAATCAATAACCCTGTGTGTACTTGATAAAATACAACACTGTCACTTTTTATGTGTACAATCTCATATGTACATGGTTCTTGCTAAATTAATAGAATATTTATAGATTTAGTCTTTTTTATTTATTTATTTTTTAAGCAAATATTTGAGCACTCATCCTAGAGGTAAACACTGCATTCACTGCCCTTCACAAAATCCCAAATGCTGCGCCCCGCATGGCCAGCAGCTAGTTCACTTACTTTCATCTGGCATTAGTGTGAACCAACTGAAAAGTTTCATAAAATCAGAGCTCCCACATGCAAAGCACTCAAAGAGGAAAGGGAGAGGCTGTGCCAGCTTTAATATTTTCCGCACCTATGGTTACATGGCTCCTCCCAGGTTTGTCAAACCCTAACCAAATCTATAGTCCATTTTATTTTATTTTATTTATAAAACATAATGCAGTCACACAACATTGGGCAGACTGTATCTGCTCTAAACAGATGTTTGTCAATTTAAATTATAGGATTTTTTTTTTACTTAATACATTCACACGCTCTCACAGAATCACGCATTCCTAGCCTCTGCGGGAATTCGTCTCCCATACAGGGAATGAGGTAAGACGAACGATTGCAAAGTTCTTTTTCTTTTCAGATGCTGTTAGAGGAGGTGGATAAAGGGAGGGGGTTAGAGGCTGTGTGTGTGGAGGGCTGGGGCAGAAAGAAGGTTCTTGACAGGAAATGACAGTAAGGGAACAAAAACCTTGGAACACAGTGACTGACAGCCTGGAGTTTTAATTGGAGCAGAAGAGGAGACAATGAGACCAGAGTCTGTTGTCTGAAGCTCACATGAGTTCCTGATGGAAATCCACTCCGTGGACCCTTTATACGTTCTACTTTATCAGACCACAGTGCACTGCTTACCAATACATGATGGTGTTCATTTGTAGATTTAATAGCAAAACATTCCCCCTTAATTATAAATGATTTTGTTGCAGTTTCTAGTTGCATGTGTGCGGTGTTGCTGCAAAATCATGGACATACGGGTGCAAACGCATTCCCAGTTTGTTATATTTATCTTCGCTACCCATACACAGGCTTGCTTATCTGTTCCCAATTCTCGAAATTGCAATAACTACAGTTCTGGAAATTGTAAATCCCAACTACAAAAAAACTTTTTGAAGAATACACATGTGTACTTACCTGTGGCCATTAAAATGAAACACTCCAGTAGATTAATTTGGTAAAGTGTCAATGCATTTTGCATTGTTGGTTTTCTTGTCGAGACCAAACTGCTGTCAATGCAGACTTTGTTTGCAGATCTCATTTTTTTTTTTTCTTAAAAAAAAAAATATACAATCTGACTCTCCCTTTTGAGAAGGGAATGGCCATGGAAAGATTATAGGAAGTAGTAGGGGGCTTGGGGTGTTAGAAAAGGAGCAAAGGTTACTATGGAAACCACTTTCTGCCTCACTGGTGCATCTTGTAAATCTATTTGGAAACCAGAAAGTGGGTGTGTAGGGAGCACATCAATAGAGGCCGGTGTGTGTGTGTGAAAGAAGAGAGCTTAAGTGTGTCTGTGAAGGGGAGCCCCGTGAATAAGCACAGAGAGCAGAAGCACAAAGAGAGCTCTGCCTGTCCCTTGTCTTGGACAGTCCATTAAGAGTCGCCCTTTAACCCTGGACAATAGAGCTATACTTGTCTCAAGTATATAGGCTCGTTCGATCTCCTAGTCTTGGCCTCTGGGTGGGGTTATTTTTAATTAGCAGGGATGGAGTTTGGTTCTCACAGTAAAGATGCTCTCCGCCCCAGTTTTGTACCTCTCTGCATAAAAGATCTTGTAACTCTGAGCAGCCGCTCTAGAATTGGAGAGTAAGTAAAGACTGTGGCTGACTGTTCTGTTTCTATAGGGAAGTCTTGTATCATAGCAGCGTGCCCCTTGACAATGATCACTGTTATTCATTGATACACAGGATCTCTATAGCTTTCAGGAGTCTGTTTAGTAGGTTATTGTGTGGAAGGGTTCTTGTTAGTGCTGTGCTCAGTAGTACTTTATTTCAACATGCAGCATTGGGTGATGTAATTATGGGTTCGTATCAGTTATTATTTTATTATTTCTACAGCGCAATCAGATTGTTCTATGCAATAGTGAAAAAAATGCTATAGATTTGTTTGTGGGGGCATTAAAGTAGATTTTTTTTTTTTTAATAGTTATCTATTCATTTTAGATTAAAAAGAAACAAAAAACAAACAAAACCCTTGTATGCAGCAAGATCCTGCTGCCGTACAATCAATCTCCCACGATGTTACACTGACTGCTCAAATTCTGCTCACAGAGAAGCGTTGTGAACGAGAAGCACATGCATAGCAAGTGCCTTACTTCTCCAAGCCAATGCTCTTTATGAGAAGCACTGATTAAATCAGTCTGATTTTTGATTTTTTTATTTTTTTTTAATTTTTTTTTTGGTACCAGTGGATGCACCCTCTAGGGGCTGTCAAGAATACTTCTCTAGAGTTGTGTTTAGCCCTGCAATGAAAATATTGCCATACCTACAAAACATGTTGTTTTTTTTTTTTTTGTTTTTTTTTTTTTTAAACATTGCTAGGCTAAGATGACAAGGACACTGCACCCAGACCACTTGAGTGATATGAAATGGTTTGGGTGCTAATAGAGTCTAATTTTAGCGTACCATTAGAGAGCGTTTGATTAGGCAAGAATGGGCATTAATATAAAAGATGATGCTCGCAAGGTAATGCTAAATAAATCCATAATGGCAGGGGTTGCAGAGAGAAAAAAGAAAAATACTCAAACCTGATGACTCATTATGATTGGTTTTAAATGTAAGCCACAATTTGCTTCCTGTGACTCAACGCTTTACTTGTGTGGTGCACTTTAAGCAAATGTTTTATCCGTTTATATCAGAATACATATTGTGAGCCCTGGTGATCGATTTTAGAACTCCATGTAGGTAAACTCTTCTTATGGTCTAAAATTATAAAATCGTTCCAGGTAGCTGGATTGAGGAGATCCCCGCTTGGCTAGCTGCCTTGGAATGTGTTCACAAACACTAGTAACTAGGTTGTTAAAACACTTGGCAGAAATGCCTGCTTTTATCCTTCCTCCATGTATGATTAGAAAGCACTTTTTATAGTGGTGTATTTTTTTTTATTTTTTTTTATTACTTTTTATTTATTTTTTTTAATCTTTACTTGAGGTGGGGAATTAACCAAATGTATACAATTGTCAGGTTTTCTTTTCTTTCCCTTTTTTTTTTTTTTTTTTTTTTAAAGGGCACTTACTACTTTCCCATGGCTCTTGGGGTTTAGACATGTACAGTGTTTGCATTTGTGTGTTCCCCTCCACAAAGCGTGTTTAGGACCCTCCAGATGTGTTTAGAAAAGCAACCACTGCTTTAGAAGAAGGCCTCTAAGTTTTCGAGTTCATGGGAACTGAATAGCTGTGTGTATATAAATATGTGTGTGTATATATTTGGTTTTTTCAATCATTAAAATAATTTCTCTGAGGTTCTTAATCCATTCAATTTATCTGTAGCCGCAGAACATTATTTTGTTTCTTCGAACTGTTGGATTAGGTCATGTCGGACATTCTGACATTATGCAATTACTATGAGCATTAAAGGGCTTTTACTTTTCATGGGTGATGGAAGCATCAAATTGCTTGGCGCACCTTTTACAGGGCCAGTATAACATTTGCAGGCTGGGTCCTGTTTTTGTAAAGCCCATTAAACTGTTTAAGAGTAATGATTCTCTGTTAAATCCTTGATGGTTGTTGTGCTTTGGGTGCAGAGCTTTTTCATGAAGGCGTAAGAAGCCTAAACAGAGCCTCATCAGACATGTCATACCGCGCCTGTAATGGCGCACCAGTAATCGGCCTCTTTCATTGGAGCCGACCTTACGTTTGTGTGTGTTTTTTTTTTTTTTTGTTAATGTTTTAAATGTATAACTTAAGCTTTTCAGTGGAAAGGAAAACTGTGAGGCTCAATTTTACTTGCAAAACTCACTGTTAGAGACTTGATCAGAATAGTTTGATATTATTTTTGCTTTTACCAGCGGTTGATTTAAAAAAAAAAAAAGTTTGTTTTATATTTTTTTACTTCTACCAAGATTTAATGTTATGTTGAACATATGCTTTGCGCCTACTTTCTGAAGAGAATCATGGTTGTATCTGTTTTTTATTAAATCCGCTACCTGCTGATGTTCTAGCCAGGTTTATAAAGTACAATTGATAATGGTGTTACAATCTTTGACTGCATTATAGCATAATTCTGCATTTAGACACTCACAGTTGAATAAATTAGGATAGTGATGGCTAATCATTGTTTCCCCCCATGATGTGTACTATATTGCCCCTTGGTGTGCTATCGGATGTTCAGTTTGAAGAAAAAACTATTTTAAGATTTGATATGTAGTCTCTCTCAAAATAGTAAAAATATCTTACTATCAGACTCCCTCTTGTGAAGTCTCTAGTCCATGATTTGCTTGTTTTACTAGATGAAGTTTGTCACTACAACAAAAATTTATTTATAAAAAAAAAAAAAAAAAGTTTAGTAACGCCCCTTGTGCTTTAGCAATAATTGCTGTTCTGATGTCTTGTGGCTGCTATACTTGCTATATGTTGGCGCTTAATGTGTCTGTCTTTGGTTTTAGTTGTGAAATCTGTCCTTGCCTTGGAGACTGTTCCATGAGCCAACTGCCGAGTACAGTCAAAGAGCAAGTTTTACCTATGAGTGCAGCCTGTAAGTTCCTGCCTGGTTGAATGGGAGCTTTCTTTTCATAGCAAATAAACTCCGTCTTATTGGCTGGTTTACCACTAAGCCCTACATTTAAAAAATAAAAAATTAGATATAGATATTTTTTTTTAATATAAATATATCAAACTTGACCTTAATTTGAGTGCATTCTCAACTTTTCTCAGATCACCTTTTTCTTTTCTTTCAACAAATCTTTACCTCCTAAAGACTTTAGCATCTGTTACCTGTCTGCGCCCTCCTTCCCGAAACCTGTTGGGCTTCAGGCGAGGCATCGTAGGGGTGCTTATAGATCCCTTGCTAGCAATTTTCTTGGCTCTGGTGAGTTTTTGTTCATCTTTCTGTGCCCTGTTGCCAACTGGCTAAGCTGTCCCACCCCCTCTGTGCCAGTCTTTATGCGGCTGAATGGGCTAGGAATGTAAGCTGCATTACATAGCTTTGATCGTTAACGTCCCCACTTCATAAGGATAAGGGGAGTTGTGAGCAGTTGAGAGGGGGGCTTGTTTAGACTCTCCCGTATGCAAATGGGAGGCATTGAGAGCTGTGGAACGTAATGAGATAACACGGCTTTAGAGACCCCAGCACAATTGTTGAAATCCTAAAACAAAAGCCAGGCCGGGACGTGAAAGGGATTTGTCAGGCGGAGGCTGGGGGGAAACCTTGTTCTCTCTCTCCCGACACACACACAACAGATTTCTTTCCCACCCCCAATGGAGCCAAAGACCCTAAGGATATGCTAATTTGGTGCTTTAATATTCATGAACTTGTTAGGCAGAGGTTACTCCTGCCTGGCAAATCCTACCCATTCTCACAATGAAATATATATTTTTCTATTTAACTCATTCTAGGAGTGTCAGCAGATAAAGCCGTAACACTTGTTTGACTTTACCATATTGGTGTTGTGTGATTCGGACCACTTGTTTTAATGTAGAGGAACTACAAGCATTGCTTCTGCTAAATTTGGTCTGAGTTCATCAGCCCATCTTCCTAAAGGATGCTGTTGGTGTGCAAGAATTCGTCCACGAAAATATACGAACACACGCACCCAGGTTCATGCCTGTCAACACACACATTAAAACACACACATTTATCACACAGCTTGTGAATCCGGACCAGCAACAAAGCGTTTCTTGTTTACCCAACTCCAAGGGATCATTTTTCAGACCTCACAAATCCCCTCTTCACCTTTCCCATCAGAAAACACCTCCCTGAACAATAAGAAAATTGGGGCCTGCCACCTGATAGCTCTCCCAAGGAACTAGTGAGAGAGGAATGTGGCTCTCTAACTGGCTCCTGTGAGACAGCCTTTGTGCTCAGTGTCTGAATCTGCTGGGGGACGCCCTGCCGAGGCTTTATTCCTTCCCCCCGGAGACTGCAATATATATGTTTTGTGTGTAGAAATATATCTTTTCTATAAAGCTGACTGCCAAACAAGTCAGATATTTAACTGCTTCAAGCCCTTCTAGACACAAGCATTTTACTGTAACTTCGGACCATGCACTTGTCTTTGCGTTTTCCGCCAACCCTGATTTATGATCTGTGAATGGGGGGGGGGTCTTGCTTTTTCTGTGTGAGATGCTGTACACTTCAATTTGTATGGGAAAGCCATTCATATTTTTGAAGAATATAAATTGTATTTTAATTTTTTTCTTTTTTTTTTTTCTCCAGTTGATTTTTATTTGTAGTCATTAAATAAAATGCCACACATTTTTAGCCCCATATATATATTTTTTTTGTTAAGTTAGTAGGCAGTATGTGATTTATTGCCTTTGTTTTAATTCGGTTCTGGAGTAGCTTTATGTCACCTACTAGCATACAGTATGCGTGTTTCACCTCTCCAGGGAATTTACCCAGTTTAATCCTGAAAACACTTTTACATTAATTTATCCTTGTGTGGCTTTCGGCAATGCCTGATGGAATTCTAGACCTTGGGTACTGCTCATTTACTACGTCATACAGAACAGGCTGCTGCTTATGAACGTCTTTCAGGGATATAGCTCTGCATATGATTTCCCCATGTTTCTATTTGAGTACAGCAACCCTGTCAGCCTTCAGACATTTGAGACCTCAGTCGGCCTCTTAATTTTTGAAGGTCATTAAGTAAAAGGTTCTATCCTTGACTTTTCACAACTTGTTTTTTTTTTTTTGTTGTTTTTTTGCCTTGTTAAAGAATATCCATACTCCCAGCTCAGGTAATGACCTCAAGAGATTTAATATAGCCATTATACCGCATAAGGACCGTTCCTTCGATGAATGTGTCGTCAGGTAAATAACTTTAATCAATATAATCCATCTACCAATTGCTTATTGCATTTTATCTGTCTGCAGAATTCAGGAGAGTGGATAGATCACTTCTGGCCTGTGGCTCCGGAGTCTGCATTGTTCCAGTAACAAAGCTACATTTTAAGTGTCTCAGAGCTTTGTCCATTAATGTTCCTTACTATAGAGCCCCATCTTTTCTGTTATGTCTTTTATTAGATGTCAACACATTCTACAGTGCTGCGCTAAGATTCTGAAATATTTAACGCCTCAAATATTACATTTATCGATACAATTACACAGAGTTGAGTCTAGCACAATAGCATTCACATAGAAGGGGGTGGGGGGATTTATTACATAAAGTTCTCCTGTAGTGTATGGGTTTAATATTGCACATATCTGCTGTTTGGATGATAGATTTGAATTTGGTTTTTTTTTTTTTTTTTGTTCCATAAATTTTATCCCTTCAGGACTTGTCAGCACCAGAAGGGGTTAAAGTCCTCTAACAAAACAGTTGAATTTTCATGTTTTGAGTAGAGGGACAGTTACAATCACAATACTGTATTTGGTTTCAAACCAGACTTTCGAGATACCACCATCACAAAAATGCATAAACTTTTTAGTCTTTGTAATGTGTGCGTTGGGGGTGGGTCTGTTCCTTGGAATGTGGCGTTAACTGACAAGGGTTTTGGATTTGTTCACATTGTTCCCGCAAATAACATCTGTGTAGGGACAAGCAGCGTGTGTACAGAAAGCTGCATAGCCTTGGAGAAACCTGGTGTTTATGCATTGGTGGATTGGGCTGCTACCTTTTGCCTGAGCAAAGCCTGAAGGGTTCAGACAAGCACAGTGAGTCACATCAGCTACCTGTCTGCACTCACTGAACTGGCTGTCTGAGCAAAACAAAATACATCCTCCATTATACTATTACCCCACCCCTTCCTCCACCTCTCATTCATATTTAAGAAATTGATGGTACTCTTACCAGTTTGCTTCCGTTTTTAACTCTTCACTTCCCAGTTGTCAACTCTCACACGGTGTAGGAGCCATCCTTTATTGTACACAAGACAAGGAAAGACTATGGCTAGAGCTCCCCCCTCCCTCCCCAGTGTGTGCATTGGTTATACGTGTTTTGCATTCATGGATGGATGTTTTTTTGGGTTCTTCCAGGTTAATGCTGTTGCAGGCTGGTGTTCTGATCCTCTGCTGAGTTCACTGTAAAACCATGGAGTGCCTTGCTTTTTTTTTGTTTTCCCCTCATTCATTTGTGCCTTGCATTGACTGACATCCTGATAATTCTGGAAGATGGGAGCTACTTATAAAATGTCATTCTGGAGCAATCCCTGTGGAAAACAATGGAATGGTCCTGCTGATTTTCTCCATTTTAAGAACTGTTCCCCAGCTTTACGCTTCAGAAAGACCAACTTTGCCCTCCCCCTTTTAAAAAAAATAATATATATATGTCACGATGAACAAGCCTTTGACACCAGCATGAGAAAGTTTCTCTCTTGTTTAAAAAGCCAGATATGATGTACTGCACTTTAAAAAAGTTAATCTGGAGCGAGGACAAAACAGCCCCTAAACAGATTATATTAGGAACCTTAAAAAAAAAAAAATCTATATCTATATATCTATATATATATATCTATATCTATATCAGATATAGATTTTTTTTTTTTTTTTTTTTAAGGTTCCTACTATAATCTGTTTAGGGGCTGTTTTGTCCTCGCTCCAGATTAACTTTTTTAAAGTGCAGTACATCATATCTGGCTTTTTAAACAAGAGAGAAACTTTCTCATGCTGGTGTCAAAGGCTTGTTCATCGTGACAGTGTTCCAGCCCCCTACCTGTATGAGGAAGGATAGGGTGTGTATGCTGACACTTTCTGGGAAGATCTTGCTTGCCCGGCCTGTGGTATGCCAACGCCCCAGTCTCCGTACAGCTTTTGTTAATATTGGGTACTGTCCAAATGCCAAACCCCGTTACTCCTTGAGTTGTTTGTTTCTGGGTTCGGTATTTCCCATTGCTGCAGGCATCTGATGTTCTCATTCTCAGACTTTGTATTCACACATCCATTTTCCTTTTCTCAACCTGTTCTGCTAAATGTATTTACTTTTCATGTACCAAGCAACACAGACTGCGCTGATTTTGGCCAAAAATGTAAGGATTAACATTAAGGCCTTAGAGATTGGTAGTTTTATGTATTTGGTGCAATAGTAAAGGAAAAGGTGCTGCTACTTGGTATTCTGTGTCTGATAGACACAAGTTGAGTTTGCCATCTTTGATTAGTGGACAGGAGCATTATATTGAAACTGTTAATATGTCAGTAATTTGGAAAATAAAGTCTTTAATGTTCTTTTCTGTTTGCAGGTTTTTATCTGGAAAAGGCCTGGTTATTTATCCACAGATTGGCGACCGTCTGGACATAATCTGCCCCAAGGGGGAGCAATCACGGCCCTACGAATACTACAAGCTGTACATGGTCCGCAAAGATCAGGCAGAATCCTGCAGCACAGTTATGGACCCTAATGTGTTAGTAACCTGTAACCAGCCAGAAAAGGAGTTCCGGTTTACCATAAAGTTTCAGGAATTCAGCCCCAACTACATGGGCCTGGAGTTCAAGAAACATCACGATTACTACATTACATGTAAGTGTGGGTATGTGGGCAACTAATGTACAGTGATGTGAATGAGAATACATTCCTATGCTTTGTCCAGTTTGCAAACTTTAAATGTTATTTGCCATATTAATCCGTTATCAGTTGCAGTTTAACTGTTCACTGCCCGGCAGCTGATACAATTACATTTTTTTTTATTTTTGGTACATTATCTGTATAAAACACTAAACACTAAACATGCATACATGTAAAGTCATCTAAAGCATTATTTCCCCCTTTTAAGTGTTGTGATGAGACTGTATTATGTAAGGTCTGAAAAACAATAAAGTTGACTTTTTTCTTTTTTAATATATATATTGTAACACAGTTTAAAAAAAAAAAAAGAAAAGAAACAGGGACACTGTTAGCTTTGTACATGTGGAAGACCAAGAACTTGATAGGAGCTGTATGTTGGCGCCATTCTCTAGAACGTGCGCACAGTATTGGTTTTTGTTTTGCACCAAACTCGAGTTGTCAACTTGACATCTAAAAACGTATTAGGCTCTCCAGGTGCTTCCCTTCCTGTGATGGGCAAACAGATAGTACTAAAGACAATAGACCTGAAGGAGCAAATCTGAGGTCATTATAGGACTGTGTGTACATTGAGGGCAGTATGGCATTTTTTAACCCTTAGGTGTGGTTTTGAGAAATTGATCACACTTTTATAGAGTACCGTAATTCTGGTGTTCCTGACCAGTATCTCCACAAACTCTTTATCCTCTCTGATCTAAATTTATTACAGTCATTTTGTGCACAGAAAGACCTATTTCTTGCAGACCTCTATGTGAAACAGACTCCCTACTGTAAGCATATTTCTTACACACTCTCAATTTAATGCAGAAATAAAGCATTTCTCTCCCGCAGCCATACCCTAAATTTTTCATCATTTGTGTTAAATGTGCTCACCCAGCAACACTGAGCACATCACATGCATTCCCTTTAGTGGGGTTTGTGGCCTGTTAAGTCGAAGGGTTTCGACAGCTAGGGTCATACTAAGGTTTATTGCTGCCCAGGGCACTTTAATAAACTTGAACCCTCCTCCCCTCACCTCCCACACTAGTAATTATTTTATTCCTTAGACTGTGGGAACTGAATAAAAGGTCGATTTTATTTATGAAAAATCGCTCTCTTCAAAGTGTCTTGTATAAGTAAAAAAAAATAAAAAAAAAATTAGTGTTTCTATATAGGGTAACAATGTACTGCTTACTATAGTGTGTTTATGAACATCACAGGTGCTTTGACACTTATATCACTAGCTGGTCAAATCTTGTTTTTTTTTTGTTTTTTGTTTTTTTTTTCACATTAACACCATCTTTCTTTCATTAACCCCTTCAGGGTTATTCACTAAGGTGAGATTCAAATGTAAGGCCAAAGAGGCTGAACACGAAGCATAGCTGGTTAATTCACTTCAGTTAGAGTTAATTCTCACTTTAGTGAATGACCCGGTTTGTTGCAGTCTAACCAATTAAAACATTTTTATTTTTAAAAATGAAGGTTTTTTGGGGGGGGGGGAAGTGGGGGGTGGTTGTCTTGATAAAACCACTTATGGTTACAACCCTGGTATAGTTTGCATGAGCGACATTGACTTTGTATTCATGTGACTATACATGTGCTTGTGTTTGCTTCAGTGTTCTGTTTTTATCTAATGGTACCACTGAAAGCCATGTAATCCACAGGTAATTTGGCGATAAGTAGATGCTGTGGCTAGAGAGAGGAGGGGCAATTGACAGGACTATTGGGAACATGCAGCCCACTCCTCTATTTTGTTGTACCCACATGCAACACGTTGTGACCTGGTTCTGGAATTTGTCCACACGTGAATTGGGCCAGATGGAGCGAGTGAAGCTTCCCTGCTCGTGATGGGAAGCGTGTTCATTGACCCAGTCACGCCAGCATCTTACCGCAGGGATTCAGAGCTCACAGAGCGTGAAATGGCAGAGCAGGGCCATGCAAAGAGCTCTCCGGTCCCGACTCCAGAAAGGCTGCAAATAAAAACTGGGAGGAATGCAAACTAATATAGATTTTTATTTTTATTTTTTTTAAACTGTGACAGTACAGTAAAGAGACAGTGGAAATGTCCCTCTCTGCCCTCTTACTGTCATCAATATCTGGTTAAGATTGTATTTTCTCCCTTTCCTTACATTCCAGGACATACTTGAAAACAAGCGAAATCTCAATGTATTTTTCCTGGTAAAATATTTTATAAATAAATAAATATCCTCCCGAACTGTAATCCTCTTCACCCTCCCCTTTTGAGCCTTGATGATTTTCTTTCTTCATTCTTCATCCCTGGCACCAGTTGGCTGCACATTGTGTCTGAGGGTTTGTAAGTGTATGGCAGAGCTCTTTCACAGCAGTACACATCTGGAAGTGTTCTGTCCCTCTGTTGGCAGGTGGGGGAGAGTCCAACACACCACACAGACGACAGATCCTTCGATTGATTCCACTGTATCCCTCTCAGTGGGTCTGTGTGTGTGTGTTCTATTCTGTCTCTCTCCAGTGCTACAACCTGCTGGCATGTTTTACCTCACGCTGCTCTTGTTTCACTCCAGCCTTATTTTCATAAACCGGCCTTAAATATTTCTACACTGGGCTCGGATCTCCTGGAGCCAGATTAATACTGCTCTTCGACCTTTCTGTGTTATAAATTATGTTCTGCAGAATTCTCTGTTAACCAGTTATGAGCCTCACATTTTAGAATGCACTGTCCTAGTGAGCTTCTCAGTCTAGTGAGTTTCATCCCATCATATACCTGGACACACAGAGCAGGTTCACGATTAATGCAGTTATATTAATAAAGTTCCTGCATGTCACTTTGTCCTATACAGTAAGTAAATCATGACACGGTGTACATGCAGGTTTTGTTTTGGCTAAGCTCGTGCTAGGATATCTACTTCTCAAGCTGCCTGTTCACTTCCTCTGTGCATTAGCCTATGTGTGCCCCCCTGGTTATATTGTTTGACAAATTTAGAAACCAATAAAGCATTTCATTCAGCAAATTCACAAATGTTTTCAAACTACTATAGTCAAAGCTTGGCAGTTTTTAACCTTCATTGTGTCTTTTGGTTTTCAATCTGCTTGAATTCAGAATTTAGTGGATAAACCCCTAATAACTATGCTAAATCTCTTGGCTTTGTTCATTCCTACCTGACATTAAAGGTTAAAAAAAAAAAGTATGTTATAATAGCCCTATTTTAATGGGTGCACTGAGCAGTGTGTTATTAAAGATTTACAATGCAGTTTATCTTCGTTCTGTATCATTAGTGCCATTAACTGATATTTAGATGCTTCCTTTTCCCGATTTAATTCCCTCCATATATTTTGCAGCAGGATTTTTGCTACAGTAAGCAGGTACTTCATGCAGAAGATCCTTCAGATTTGTACTTCTCCACCTTGGCCTACACCTCCTTTCCTTTTCATACGTACACACACGAACTGGCTTCTTTTTCTCAAGTGCACACAGCTGTGATCAGCAGCTGAGGCAAAAAAGCCTTGGGGATGGTGGTTAAGCCCCTGTGAAATGAAGTGTTGACCTGCAGAGTGGCATTTGCTGTGCACTCGGGAAGGCATATGGACATCCACCCGGCACAAAGTCTTCACTTTTCTCAGGCCTATTGCCTGTGCTAGCAGAAAAAGTTTAACCTGCACCCATTGTGTGTCAAGTCTTTCATTGTTCCTCTCCATTTACACATTTGGAATTAGAAGCACTTCTGCAGTCATTTAAAGATTCTATATGGGAATAGTTGATTGGAAAAGTTCCTTGGCCCAAGTTTAAGTTCCTGGAACAAATGCAACTTATTGTCTTCAGTATAGTGTTAAATCTCTGCACCACTCCTTGAAATAAATAAGGGGTCCTTCATAAGGGAAGCATTTTACTTGCTTTGCTGTATTATTGTTGGCTATTTCGTTCTAAACTTTTCTCAGAAGGTGTCTTCTCACTGCCTCAGAACTATCACTGTGTATGTTTACGGCTTCAGGGAGTGTCCCTTCCCCAGCTGAGATTTTTTTCTTCTCAGAATCCACGTATTCATATTGCTGCTAACCTTTCCTGTATAGCGTGACCACCTTCTCCTCCTCAATCCATGGACCTCACATTGTGTGTTTCTGGGATAGGAGGGTAGAAAATAACGCATTCCTTAAGACATGTCTCTTACGGTGGTTGGAGCTCCATTTTGTTTTGTACACGGTTTAGAGGTGCTAACACACTGAAACCATATATGAAGCCTGTAGGGATTCCTCATTTATAGGGTTGGGGAGAAAGATTTATAGAAGTGCGTACCTTGTCAGTGAAGTTTTCAATGAGTAACTGGAAAAACTAGCAAGATTGGATTTGCCCCCCCTCAATGTATCTAAATTGCCATTTGTGTATCACTTCTTCATTTGTACTATTCCCTTGAACACTTGTTTATGTGTTTGTTAAAACTAAGCTTATCCACAAAATGTGTTAGTGATCATTTCCTCATTATAAGTTAACTCTTAAGTGTATTAGTGAAACTGCAAACGTGTGTGTGTGTGTGTGTGTGTGTGTGTATATGTGTGTATATATATGTGTGTGTGTGTGTGTAAACAGTAATGTATGACTAGGAAGAAAACACTCACATGCAATAAGTTTTGGGTGTTTTTATGTATTCCATGTGACTTGTGAATTCTTGAAAATATACTGCATAACGTGGTTAGTAAAAAAATAAAAAATAAAAAAATAAATAAATAAAAAATTCAGAGCCTAGACCATGCTCCCCAAGATAGATAGATCTTCAGATTGCAATCAAGCTACAGTGATCTATTGGCTATGCGTTATAGGAGAGGGGATCAAATTTTCGAAATAACTTATGAATTACTCTGAGAGGGAGTAGCAATTTTTGTAAATACATTTTACCAGTAAGAGGAAAAATTATGGATCAGTGTTATGAACTGGTTCTGCAGTGTTGTCCCTTAATATCTCTGAGAGAGTGGACTGGCAGCAGTCATGCAGGGGTGATGGTAGTTTTGGGATCTATGTTTTCTGTTTGTGTGTATGTATGTGTATATGTATATACACACACATATCTATCTATCTCTATGTGTGTGTGTGTGTGTGTGTGTGTGTGTGTGTGTGTATATATTTTCAATTTATTTTTTTCTCTCCTGTAAGTGGTTGGTTATTTAAGAACAATTCACATTTTTGTTTCTCTGTTCAGTCGCACTCCCACAGTACTTATTCATTAAGTGTGACCAGGGGAGAGCTGGAAACCTTTGCCCTCAGTGGGCGCAAGTAAAAATCAATGGCTTTTATTTGCACACACATTTCACAGATCTCTGCGGATGGTCCTCCTGTATAAATGATATGCGGGTTTGACATACTGGAGACTTGCAATGTGTGATATCCTTTCACCCTGCACCCCTCAGGCAGGCGGGCGCACGAGGGAGCTGAAGAGTAAGCACTGAGTGCTCCCTCGCGTGCCCGACCGGCCACCCGCCCGACCGGCCACCCGCCCAGGAGCTCAATGCTTTCTTATGGACATTCAGTGTGCTCCTCTAGTGGCTGTCAGTAAGACAGCCACTAGAGGCTGGATTAACCCTCAATGAAACTATGTTTTCAGCTGCAGGGTTAAAACTAGAGGGATCTGACACCCAGACAACTTCATTGAGCTGATGTGATCTGAGTGTCTGTAGTGGTCCTTTTGTGTGTGCATCTGCATGCACTGGAGTACATACCGCGGTCGCAGCCCTGTAACCCCTGCGACCAGGTGCCCACCGCCATGTGTTGCGGCCCGGCCCGCGCATCAGTTTTCGCACCAGGGCCCCATGGGTCATGTGTACGCCACTGGCTGCAACCCATAAGCCCTGTATGCGAATGGCTGGGGAGGCAATTTTCTTCTAATTGGCAGCCCTCTCATGAGTGTGGATTCCTAAAGCCCACAAGTTCACACCTCACCTGCACAATATATGAACGTTTTTGTCTGGATTTATGAATCATTTTTCTACTGAAGCAAAACAATTAAGAAATATATATATACAGTGGGACCTCAGTTTACAAACGCCTCGGTTAAAATAATTTTCAGTTTACAAATGAAAATCCATTGAAAATAATGCTTCGGTTTACAATTTTTTTTTTTTCACAATACAAAGCAAGTTTCCCCAGGACGCATTGCACCTGGGAGGGTTTTAGAACCGCCCCTGCATGCTGGAGCCTTTGGGTAGCACGTGGAGGTGTTGGAGCGGCTTTTGCATCAAGTTTTGGATCCATTCTGGAAATTTTCAGTTGTTTTGGGACTTTTTGGTGCATTTCTCAAGCTTTGGAAAGGTAGGGAGCTGAGCTTCATCGTTTGCATGCCTTTTATTGTGTGTTCTGCATTGTGGGTTGGTTTCCATGCAAGTTCATTTTGACTTTTTTCTGACCTCCAGAACAGATTAATTGGTTTTCAATGCATTCCTATGGGAAACTGAGTTTCGGTTTACACATTTTTCGCAATAAGAAACGTCCCGGAGAAAGCATTAAATTCGTAAACCGAGGTCCCACTGTATAGGGGTTTGGGTTTGTAATAGGTTTACATCTGACATACACCAAGCGCATTGTTTACACCATTTATTTAACTTTTTCCTCTAGGCTGTGGACTTATACCGCCTTCCTCGGAAAACAAAACCGGGTTTTCCTTGAGAAATGGCTTCATACCCATAATCCACCATGCACCACCCACACTGGTTGTGGCTAGAGCCCTCTGAATAAACAGATATATTGTTTGTGTGTGTGTTAGTGTATGTGTATATATATATGTGTGTATATATGTGTGTGTATGTATATATGTGTGTGTATATATATATATGTATATATATATATATATGTATATATATATATATATGTATATATATGTGTATGTATGTATGTATATGTATATATATATATATACTGTTATGTTTAATATAAAAGTTGCTCCCTATGTATGTGTTTTTTGTTTTTTATGTGTGCCACCAGGGGAATTATCTAAGAAAAAAAAATTAATTTTTACAAAATGCAACATTTTCAAGTGCCAAACATCTGCCCACTGTACCATTAAATAAAAAGTAATGCTTGCAGAATTTAGGTCTTGTAGTTGGACTGTAATCCCTGCCATAATTTTTTTTTAATGTAAAGTTTTTTTTCTATCTGGAATTGTGTGGTGGTGCTCATTTTATTTATTCATTTCAAGGGTTTCTCTGTGCACCATGACCATTTCAGTGATTTAAAGTAGTCATGGTGTTTGGAGTCTGTATGTGCAATGATTCAGTAAGAAATGCTGTACATCATTAAAAGGATCTAAAGAACTGTCGTAAGTTCTCCTTCGGCAGTGTCTTTAGCAGCCCAGAACGAGCTTGGGAACTGCCTCCAAACTTTTAAAAATCAAAATGACCAATGCAGTTTATGAATGTAAAGAAATCCTTAATATTTGAGACTGAATACCTGGATTCAGTTTTTTGTTTTTTTTCTGTAAAAAAGCGATGTTGGTAATAATCAAGCTATTGTTTGGCTTGAAAGGAAAGGTAGGGCTATGCCTTTTTAAACTTTCCTTTTGATCAAAGTTCACAGGTTCCTCTTGCGCACTAGTTCATGATCGGCCCTGGCCTGCAGGCACTGGTAGAAAGAACTCGTACTGGAATAATAACCTTCTAATTCAATCATTAGCCTAGCATATGGATACTTTCCCGGCATTTTATAATGCTATTCCAGTAATGAATCTCTTCCTTCGTCAGCAGCGTTTAGTAATGCATTTCCCCCCATCCCATAGAAGATCTCTGTAGAAGGAAAGTGAACACATGTAAACACTATTCCCTAATACTAGGGAATAGGCCAAATTTGGTAGTGATTTGTCTGTACTCCATTATTTTCAAGCTATTGGGGCACTGGTCCTTTAGGAGTCTGTTCAGTCACACCAGCTTCTTGTATGGCTGAAGGTTAATGGAGATAGACAGCCACACAGTCGTTCATAATGTTCTCCATGATTTAACAAACTTAAGGCCTTGTTGACTTGAATGGAGATTCTTTGGTTAAACCCATGTAGCCAGTTGCTGGATAGTTTAACAGAGTTAGAAACCTGGGGGAAATGTGTCTATATCGCTTACAATTTCAGAATTCTTAAAGGGAATTCTATAGTGTTAAAAATACATAGCTGTCAGCTAAATGATTTACTTACTTGATTCCATCGGCATTGAGTAAGCGCTCAACTTCCTCTGTCATCAGGGGATGGGTGGTGTTAATGCATAAGCGCATTAGGCCCTCCCCTTTGGAAAGTATTGCTTCGGTGCTTTCCTATTGGAATTTTACTTAATCTGGATGTTCTCATGCAGAGCGTGAGGACGTCCAGCGTCAGACGACCTAAAATCGGTTAGCAAGCAGGAAGTGCCTCTAGTACAGGCATAGGCAACCTTCAGCACTCCAGATGTTTTGGCCTACACCTCCCATGATGCTTTGCCAGCATTATGGGGGACGAAGTCCACAACATCTGGAGTGCCGAAGGTTGCCTACCCCTGCGTAGTGGCTGTGTGAGAGCCACTAAAGGCAGTCTTAGTCCTTCAATGCAAGTATAATTCACATTGCAGGACTAAGGGAGACTGGACACTGCATCCTTACCACTTCAATGAGATGACGTGGTCTGGATGCCTATAGTGTCCCTTTAACTGGCATATGAAATTGGGGGGAAAAAGCCAGAGATTGTATCTGTAGATTCCCATTGAGGGGCACAGTGTAAAGGATCTGAAAGTATGCATATTTGTATTTCCATTTATTTATCATTTTGAAGAAGTATATGTGGGGAAGAAAGTGTTTTGCAATCTTTCTACCAGATTCATAAACATTCTCACTAAGGACGTATAAGCTTTTTATAACCTACAGAAGGAGTGACTGAAGTAAATGCAATGCTAAACTATCATGCTCATGGGTATTTGGAGGTATTTCCACACTCTGCATGGAGTCCCTGAATTTTCCTCATAGAGATGCATTGATTGAATGCATCTCTATGAGGAGGTCCTGATTGGCCAAAACTGCATTTGGCCCGGCACCGTGCCAATTTTAGCCAATCCTATGCTTTCCTTATCGGTGGGTTTAGGCACTATAGGGAATACATGTTTGTGTTCCTGACCCTATAGTGATCCTTTAAAAAGTTACCTGCTATCTCCATCTATAATAGCATCTTTTTTCTCTTGTTTCTTTTAGCCACATCCAATGGCACTCTCCAGGGTATAGAAAATCGAGAGGGGGGCGTCTGCAGCACACGATCTATGAAGATTATCATGAAGGTCGAACAAGGTGAGAAATTGGGTAGCATTAATCTAGAGCTGATGGTGATTTTTGCATTGCTGGAAAGTTAAAAACTTATTATATGATCTGAAGTATTATGGCAGTTTTTGTTTCTGGTTTGTTTATTTTTTGGTTGTGTCCTTTTCCCAACTTATATGGTATATTTTCTTTGTTTATACTCTGCAATTTTAAGTCACTGTCATGTTCACACACTCTGTCTGTTTCCAAGCATGAGTCTACAACTGGCTGCTTTGATCAGTATGTGTTAAAATGTTACAAGCCTTAAACCACTCAATAATTTACTAATAGATTTAATAAACATCTGTAGTACTCATTTCTTTTATGTACTGGAAATACATCTTCTTGCTGAGATGTGCCAAGAAGCTCCATTGTGGAAACCGTTTTCAACCTAAGAATGATTTCATTATTAAAAGCTGTCAAAATGCACATAACACATCCTTCTCATCTCCCATAATATCTGCATCATTTATAGAACACGTTACAAATATTTTAAAATATAGCTTGAAAGGATCAGGTGCCCGCTAGATAATATCCTGTATCACGTGTACATATAGACCAAATTGATTATCTATTTTTTTTCATGTAAATATTGCTGGTTAAAGTGCTTGCTAAATGTCAAGACATTGACAAAAAGCTGCTGTTTTAGTATGGATGTGTGGACCTTTAACCTTTTTATTGTAAAATTATTAGAAAGGCACCCAGTTTACATGTACATTTATCATCATGTTATGCTCTTTGACAAGAGACTGGGAATAACTGACTTTAGACTTTAGTCCAGTAATGCTTAGTGATTCAGAAGACTTTCCTGAGTAAGTTAAAATATTTTAAGAAGACCTATATTTTAAAACTCCGATTTTTATTTATTTTTTAACACATACACGGTTTATTTTCTATAGCTCAGTGTAAAGTTCACTGTTCTTCATGTACACTTTGACAGCCACCAGTAAACATGTAGAATTGTTGTCTGTAGCATGAAGGAAAAAGCCCTTACTCTTTCTGACGGGTGTATTGGTTGGTATACCAGTGTGCCCAGTTCGGATTACAATATATTACATCATATACATATGACAAATGAAAATGGCTTTTTAATTTTGTCCCTGCATGGAAGCATGAGAGCAATGACAGGAAAAATATATTTACTGGAATTTTATTGAAACATTTGTATAGTACAAAGTGGCAGACTGAAAAGGCCAGACATGTTACAAAACCTCAAATTATTATTTCTATAGCATCATCAAATTCCATATAGGTATTTTCATTGACTGTATTCAATTGGCGATGCATTAGAATTTGTATAAGGTGGCAGTTTCTCTATTATTTCCACTCTGTGGGATAATAAACCTGTTTTTAATGCAGTATTGCAATAAATCCAACTCCTGTGACAAATGGTTGGAATTGGGTTCATTTATTAGGGGTTTTAGCTATACTTTGTAGTATGCTCTTTTAACCGCCTCAATGCACCCTCTGCTACACAAGTAACGTCTTCAGTTCCAGGAAATGTACATATAATGTATGTGTCCGGTCATTTGTCCCCTGAGGATAGATTGCTGTCTAAACTAGTTATTCCTGTGTCTTCTATATTAGCTGTCATAAAGTGCTTGTAGTTTGAGGGTTTTACACAGACCTTCTTGTTATCTTTTGTTAAACTCGTACAAAAGCTTGGTGGGCCTGACCATCAAGCTGAACAAAGTGACTGCTTTGACAGTCATTTTTAGTGTGCAGCTACCGATACACAGCAGTTTACGTGCTCCTTTATCACAAAGACCTACAGCACATAGTAGGGCACCACAATGTCAATCACACTTGATGTCTCTTGCTCACTTTATGCCCATTTAGTGCTTTCTTGCATCTTTTGGTTTTAAGTCCATTTTTCTGGACTTGACAAAGGAGAAGAGCCTCAGGTGGAAAGGAAGGCAAAATTACTGGAAATCAGTTGGATAGTTGGAGATCCATTAAAATAAAAAACAGTTTGGCATAATAGAAATGAGAAAAGGGTAGAAAGGCAATGGTGAGGGCAAAAGTGTGTGTGTGTGTGTGTGTGTGTGTGTGTGTGTATGTATATAGATATATAGAGAGAGAGAACGAGCTGCCATGGGATGAAGGGAGAGCTGAGATACTAAGAGGTAGAGGAGAGGTGAAATTAACATGTACGTGAGGGGGGAAAGAGTGGTACTTGGTGAAGGGTGGAATTGTGTGTGTGTGTGTGTGTGTGTGTGTGTGTATATATAATATACTTTCTGACTCTTCTAGTAACTGTGTGGCCTGAGACTTTTTACAGATAGCAACTGGAAAAGTAGACAGTGTTACAATTTATAGTTATTGGTGAACCGTTGTCAAGGGGTTTGGTTAACTGGGTGTCATGTATTATGGAATCTAGAAAAGTTGGTCCATTGAAGATGAAAATATAATTTGCAGAAGTCATAGATCTACTTGGGCATCAAAGGGAGGACCGTACAGGCTACGGTTCCTGAAGGAGTATATTTTTTGCTTTGTGTACCTCCATTCATCTAATTAATCATTTCTTCTCCCTTTTTCATAAAAAGCAAGCCTAAACTAATGGTATTATCCTTTTGTTATAGATCCCAATGCAGTTTTGCCAGAACATCTGACTACTAGTAAACCTAGCAAAGAGCAAGATAATACTGGAAAATTAGCAACTTCGGGACCTTGGATTCATATAGAAGACCATGCCAAACAAGGTAAGATCCTGCAAAGGCTCAGTCTATGTAGTACTAAAATATGTTTTTGACTGACAGTGTGTGTGTGTGTTTCCCCAGCAGCAGCTTGGGGAATAATGTGAGCATCACTTAGTTTCATCATAAACTGTGTTCATGTACAGAGTCTAAATGTTTCTTAAATGGTGCACCGCTACATGTTTTGTTTTTTATTTTTTTTTAAATATGTAATGGTGAATTTTATCTTACACAATTCAAAAAGCTTTTATAGCACGTTTGTGGGTGCCCATGAACTTATTAGAATGCAGCAGATATATGTACTCTGAACCCCACAGATATCTTCAAGCAGGCATCTGCTCCCCATGTAACTGAACACAGGGTGAAATACATTGGTTTTATATGCGCTATGGCATTTATTTCATGTAATGTTTAACTTTATTTTATAAATTTCGTGTCCGTTTCATATATAGATGTACAGATCCCTAGTGATTTCTTCAGTATGGTCTTGTAGGGTTCTTTGTAAATGTTTTGCAACATAGCCACCACTGACATTAACTGTTTTGTCACCCCCTCCTCTCCTTCTTTTTAAGGTGAAAATGCTGGGAATACTGGAGATGGAGTTGACAATTTCTTCAATTCAAAAATCGCTGTGTTTGCTGCAATTGGAGCTGGATGTGTAATCTTCATCCTTATCATAATTTTTCTGATTGTCCTGCTCATCAAGATCCGAAAACGTCATCGTAAGCATACACAACAGCGGGCAGCAGCGCTCTCACTTAGCACATTGGCCAGCCCAAAGTGTAGTGGCAACGCAGGCTCCGAGCCCAGTGACATCATCATCCCGCTGCGGACTACAGAGAACAATTACTGCCCACATTATGAGAAAGTCAGTGGGGACTATGGGCATCCTGTGTACATTGTTCAGGAGATGCCCCCACAAAGCCCTGCAAACATTTACTACAAGGTCTGAGGAGGGCCCACAAATAAAACCTTGCTCCCCATCTGTGGGATAAGCCAATCCATCACCAGGAGCACAGGCCAAAGGTCACTCTGCATTAAAGGACTCTGGGAGACGGAGCAATAAGACTAACTTTCCCTATGTTAGGTATTTTTATATAGTTTGTCCCTTTTATTATGCTCCCTATCCTCTCCAAGGTAGGGTGGGATAATCTGCTCCTGTCTGTACTTTGCACACATGCAGTGTTTTTAACCCTTACTTGACATGGAAGTCACTGGAGCAGTCAGGACTCAACCGTGGAATTTACCTTGTTGGGACACAAGTACCTGAGTGATAATTACTGATGCAATTCAATTGTGCATTGAAAAAGTGCCCCACATGGTGTCAGACGGGTTTGGCATAGCCACATGTTTCTTGGAGTTAGTATCCTAGTCTTGAGCTGTGTCTCCTAGTCTTGAGCAGTTTTTCTCCAGTTCCTTGTCAAAAGACCAATCTAATGGTAGCTTTTTTGTTTTGTTTTGTTTTTTTTAGGGCACAGATGGGAGCTGCAGCCATGTTCAGCACTCTGGCACACTGCATTTGCTCTCTTATGTGTTTTCAGAGTGCTGTGACTTGGTGTGTCTCAACCACACACCCTAAAAATGAAATCTGGGCCTGTGTAGTTCCTATACTGTTTCTGTGCAAGCGGACAAAAAGAGTGAGCGCTAAGTATTTCTATACTGTACTACACACACTACCTGTGCACTGGTATACACACCACACATGCTACCTGTGCACTTATATGCACTTAATTGCACACTTGTGTTTAATATGACTGTATTTCAATCAACACCCTGTCCTATGTGGTGAGTAAAGGACCCAATTAATGATGGATACAACACCCTCAGTGTTACTGGGTCCTGGGACTAGACCCTGCCTAATATCTGAAACGTTTGCCTTGATACCTAAAGCATAAAGATTAGACTTAAAGGCAAGAACCACTCAGGCTGTTGTCTCCACACATATTGTGTTGATTCAGAATCAAACATGTCATTAGATGCAGTAACTTAGAACTAAAAAGCATTGCTTGGAGTAACAATGACCTTAATATTGACTGGTGTGACCTCCGTATACAATGTTCAATGTAGGAGTGACAGGAGAATGTTTGGATGCTAACCAATGTGGTGGTGGTTGCATTCACCTGACTGGTTTTTATCCCTATTGGTTATAAATCTTTTTAGAGATGCTGGTGATATTTAAACCTATATTCCATAAGTGTAGGAAGTAAAGGAAGCGTGGTGAGGGTGTGTTCTGATTTTTGATCACATAATGTTTAAATCATTTTTGTTCCTGATGAGCTAGCCCACTTTTCTACTTTTTTCAAAATAATAATTATAACCTTGACGGGAAGAAAGTTTCAGGTGAAAGCAGTCTCCATGATGGTGCTTGTCACACATCCGTGTTGACTCAGGGATCTGTACGGTGTTGGCCATCACATCATGTGGTGGCATATCTTGTGTGACCGCTTTGGTAAAGCTCTCTCTCATTTGGTTATTTAGCGACCCTGTGTCCCCTGTCTTGTCAGCAATATATATATAAAACAAATATGCTGGTGTTCACCCAGTGTGATTCATCATGAGTGAACATTTGTTAAATGCATTTATTTTAACATTTTGGTGTGTCACACATGGTGCTGAGCTACATCCTGCAAAACAGGCCTAAGTTATACTAGTCTGAGCCACTGCAGCCTCCCCAAACCTGGTGTCCAAGTCTTTCCAGCATATGGCTCCCCTCTTGCAGAAATGTTGTAGATGTAAAGTAAAGTAGGGGTTGGGACTCCTTCGGCCCTCGAGATATTTTGGACTACATCTCCCATAATACTCTTACAGCCATAATGCTGGCAAAGCATCATGAGATGTAGTCCACAACATCTGGTAGGCTGAAGGTTCCCCATTCCTGATATAAAGTAAAATCCCTCATATACTTTTTTGCCATGGTCTATATAAATATATATACATGTATCATGAGTGACTGTGGTGGTTATAGTGATTAGGTCTTGCTCTTAAATCATGCAGTTGGCCTTTTCTGTCTCGCTTGTGAACGGGGGAAGACATCAGATAATGTATACAGTTATGCCACCATGTTTTGTGTACACTATTTGTCTGTTGCTTGTGAGTCCAGATGCCAACCCAGCATGTTCTGTATTGCAGTGGTGTGGGCAGCAACTATGAACAAGATGAAGGGGACGATCCTTAGCTGCTAATATACACCAACATAGTTAGAAAGTTCTATAAACTTCACAGACCATATTCGTGCACATAGATGATCTCACAAACATTTTACACATTTTTTTCCCCCCATTATGCGTGTTTTCGCTCCATATTATAACTGTTATACATCCCTTTCCTGCCTTCTTTGTCCATAAAGGTTTTTATTTTTTCTCAATAGTGCACATCTCACACATTTAATATTAATAGTCTTATCCCTTGCATTTCATTTAAACCCTTTTGCTGCGTTTTTGATAGCAGGGGGCATGGTCTTGCCCTATTCATGGTCTTGGGGGCAACCTTTGCAACTCTTAAAGGGAATTTGGATGCCTGCCCACTGCCTTATACCTTGGTGTTTTGTACACCCTATTGCACACACACACAACTTTTCTATCACATTGTATGCATGCACACGCACATGCTTGTTCTGTTCTCCTTACAGGAACACACCCTATAATTTATTTTGTGGTAGCATTTCCTTCACTTTTATTTTTTTTATTTTTATTTTTTTTTAGCTTAAGCTGCGGCAGCCAAGTTGAGGCATGTGCTGCATTTTTTAATTCCTTGCTCCGTACTGAGCAACTAAAGCCTGCAGCATAAATGCAGTTCTAGAAAAAGCCTAAAACTATAAAATTCTAGCACAGTACTCCTTACACCTTTTTAAAAGGGGCCCAGATTACAAAGATGCCATTAGATCGGCAACTTTACTTGGAAATAACTGGGTGACCCGTTCTTCACGGGTAATAGTGATTACTATTAAAATACATTCTCAAAATAGGTCTTCAATGCATTGTATTAAATAAATGGGGGTGTTGCCTATAGCCTGTGCAAATTGAGACTGTTTTGGGTCCTGTGCTGGGGTTAAGAAGCCCTGCTGCAACATTTATATAAGATTCACACTATTGTAGAATCTGTGTGGTGTACACATTCAAAAATACAAAGATTCCATAAGTGGGGTCCCCTGCCTTGAGACTCTGCAAAGGGCAGTGTGCCCAAATTAGTTTCAATGAACCTTTTGACATTGATCCATGCTAGGAAAGAACACCAGTCTTTCATCTTGAAGTGTGCAAGTAGTGACTAAAGACACATGTAGTTGTGGTGGTCCGTGTTGACAGCCTTTTTACCTATTCTACCTTTCTTGATAGTAGTACCCTCCGAAGACCTCTATATAGCCCCTGGCAGCTCCTATTCACGCTTAACGTTCTATGCAGAGTTATAGCTGGTATCCTTTTGTATTGAGGCAGATTAAGGGCTTCTGCAGTCGGAGGCAGCAGCTGTCTGTCTGCCGGAGAGGGGCTTTGAGACATTTAGTCTCTTGTGACAAGGACAAAGGCCTTAAAATAGAATTTTAAAAGCACCACCCTTCACATCCTATATTTGCATCAACCACTGTTCGATGCTGATGCTCTAGATTTTATTTAATTTCTTTATTAATTATTACACCGAGGTTGTCTTCTGATTTCAGAACAGATTAAGGTGCATGCTTTTTTTCTTTTTAAAACATACCATAAAAACAAATTACTCAGATGTACTGCATTTTATATACTCTTTTTAAACTCTTTAGACACATCTTTCTTTAAGTACCAAGCTGCAGATTTTTTTTTTGCAGATTGTAAACACTTTATCACTTCGAACAGTGAAGATATGTATGTTTCGCCTTTTTAAAAAAAAAATTTTTTGACGCTCAACTTCCATTTCTTCAAGCCTTCATGTATTGGAGGAATAGTTTATTTTAATTACACACCATTTAACATTGCCTTGTGCACATGTACATATGAAGATGAAAGGTGAAATTTAAACTGAAATTTATTTGCACCTTTTACTTTTTCAAACGACATTGATTTTTCTTCCTTACCTTAAGAAATTAACTTTCATATTCTTTTGTAAATAATGTTTTTTCTTGGAAGAAATACTGTAAAGCTGTTTTGTATAAACTTCAAATTTATTTTCATTTGCTTTCTTAGGAAAAAATAGATTTTTTTTTTTTTATTATTTTCTCTTTTTTTTTTAAACAACAAAACCCCATGCATATCTATTTGTACATCTGCTCCCAGTATACCCTAAATGTGTACTCACAGGATATGAAGCAGGCTTCAGTACAAAATACCTGCAGGGCTTTAGCACAGGATTTCCACTTTACTCTTGGTTATGACATTTCTAATCCATCATTGTAAATTAGAGCACCTTAGTACACGTGTAAATATAGATTGGTCTGTTGCAGGACTGGCTTGCAATGAACATCTTTACAGGAAGGACCTTGTTTTTGGTGTAATGACAAGCAAATGCCATATAAAACAGATTTAATTTTGTGGCAGTATGGTATCTTCAGCTTCGTTTTGTATCAATCCGCTCTCCGGTAAATTGTTTAGGTTTGTGCCCTTTAGTGAAAATATGAGCCAACCCTATATTTAATCCAGATCCAGTGTGTTTTTATTTTTTTATTTTTATTTTTAACACTGCACTATACTGAAGAGGCTATAAATCTGCAAATTCATTCCTGGTATTTGAGGACTGCAGCTTCATGGGTATAGCGCTAATAGAAAATAAATGGGACAGTTCAGAGCTACCAAAATCAGTCAATACAATGAATTAAAACCGTAAACATTTTAAGTCTTATGGAGGAAAAAATGGGCATGCTTAGCTCTGTGCCACCCTTTCAGAAAACGTAAACACCATTGCAATAATTGTTTAATTGATGGGGAAAAATCCTGCTGGCGTCACAAATGCTGAATGAGATATTAACCCTTTCTCTATCAGCTTAATTACATTTTTGTTTCATGTACTTACCATAATTAAAAAAAAAATATATTTATATTTTTTTGAGGGAGGGAGTGACTTTTGTCTTACTGCACAGTCAATTACCCAAATCCAAGTTTTTCTGTAAAGGTGGTTTACTTGTATGTGTTTATATAGTCTTATAAGACATAAGAAAATAGCGAGAAGCCTGCTATCCACAACACGCTTGTTTGAACCTCATTTGGAGAAGATAAACCTCTTCTGCCTTCCTGTTATCCCGGTATCTGTTACCTGTAACCAAACCCTTATGACTTTGCAATGACACCAATCAAACAAAACACCGTGATTTTTGTTTCCCTTCATTCTTTTCCAATTTTTGGACTGTGCCTTCTAAACCCTGATTTCTCGGACAGGGGCCTCTGGCTCCAAACCCGCTATGCACGCCATTTCATGTCCGAGGCCTCTCTGCCAGGACGCTTTTCTCATATTACCTGGTTGGAGAGGCGGGGTTTGATTACATCATCTTTTAGGGAAGAGATTTCCGTGCACGCAATGAGTTATATCTGCATACCACATATGCTGACTCCTCCGTTTGCTTGTCATTTCATTCCTCAGGCACTCTGTTTTATTTCAAATTGACTTTTTATGCCTCACCTGATAGTTTTTTTTGTTTTTTTTTCAATTTTATTACATTTTGTTTTCGTTTTCTATTGAATTCATGTTCCCTACGGCTCTGCAGTTTAAATGTCACCCATGTTCATGTTATTGCCTGGAACTCCAGTTCTCTGGAGAAATGTTGGAATCCTGATATATTGTTAAATAAAGTTTTTTTCCTATGGAAATTTTATTTACTTATTTTTACAATTGTTCATACACTCAATTTTCATGGTACAATGGCATTGTGCATCAAGATTCCAGTCCTCTGAAAGTAAATAGAAATATGCAAATTTATTTGGTTCACATTTTAATCTTCCGGTTATTCCTGCTGATTGACTTCCTCAAGGCTTTCTTAATAACTTTTTATATTTTTTCACTGCTCCAGCTTTTCTAGCTACATTTGTTGATCTGTGTCCAGCAACCTCTAGTGCTGTACCTGTTTAGAATTTTAGCTCACAGAAGACCCTATAAAATAATGCTTACTATGGAATAGTTTTGTTGTTGACCCTCTATAATTACTTTTTTAGGGTTTGAAACTTCAAATTGTGAGCATAATATGGTTTACATGTGGTGCAGGTGACACGAAAAGGTTGTCATGATTTGAGATTTATCTAATCCCTTGTCATGAATAATTTACAAACCATGCACAGATAGCCATTCAATAAAGTGTGGGTTTTCTTGAGTTTAAAGTGAATTTTTAATTCTGAGTCTGTTTGGCTTAAAATGTCAGTCAGGATTACACACTTTAGTGAATAACTCGGGGGGCGGGGGAGAGAGCTCGTTATGTCATTCACCTGGCGATGTCGTCATGTCATCCTGGTGCATGCCAGTGGTAGCCTTGCTATACTCTGAAAACAACCTCAAAATTACACCTAGAACCCACAATGAGCTGTTATGTATGGAAAATCTGCCATTGATATGTGCAGGAACGACTACTAAAGGAGGACAGGGTGTAGATACCTATGCTTTAAATTGCACTAAATCCATAAATTATATTATTCTATCGCTGTTTTCATAATAAGGCTCTTACTAAATCCTCATTTTCCAGCTCGCTGGTTTTAGCCTAAAATTTGCAATTTCCTCTCCAATTATCCATAATTCCCACTTTTGTGAATAAACGTGAGCTAGAGCATCTACACTCTGCTTCTCTGGCACGTACTGCCTGTGGGAGCACACCAAACTCTTGGATCTGTGGACGGTGAAAATATTAAATAAGTGGCTGAACACCAGTGTAGGTAAATACATTAAAATAACGTTTAAAATCACGCTGAATTGTGGTAGAGTTGACAATTGAATTATTGTGCATTTGTGGCCAAAAAGCTGAAAAGAAAACAATGATTTAAAGTTTTTGGAGGCAGATTTCCATTTTCTATAGGGCAGTCATTGTTTGAACTGTTTAAAGGAGTGTTGATAAATTCTACACTGGTACAACTTTTAAAATGAATACAATATTAAATCAGCACTTCTGTGACCAAGCCTCTAAATGGTATATCATGATAAACTACTGGTCTCCAAGGCCAACACACAAAATTGTATAGACTGGCATAAGGAACGCAAAGCCTAGACCCTGAGAGATAGGAAAAATAAAGCCTCGTGCTACACTTCTTCTGAAACACTTTGATACATTCTGTATGTTCATTTAGGCTGAATTTGAATAAACAATATTCAGGCAAGCAATTCGGACAGCCAGAACAGCAGGAAAAGGGACTATGACTGTACTGACATGTAAACATGGCTACAATATTGCCTGGCCTAATTGACCACCCATTCACCCTTTCCCGTCTTTGAGTGCCTGCTATCTAAGCAGACACACTTGGGAAAAGCTGATGGCGCATTGCTTTCCCCACCACCACCACCACACATACACTCCAGGACAGTGACTTCTTTTACTAAGGAAAAATAAAATAAAAATTAGTGGACATGGGCACTTGACAACACAGTCACCCTCTCCACTATGACCAGAACAAAGCATTCCCACACATCCAGCCTAAATTGTTGTGTGCATCATTCAATTTAAAAATAAAATATTTTTCCTTTTATTTTTGGGGAAATCCCCTCTTGTCAAATTACTCCTTCTGCAAATACCCCTCACCTACCCCAAATGCCTTTCATTGTTGTGGCTTCTACTTGCATGGTTTACTGCTACCTTCACAAACACAGTTGGTAGAAAATGATGGTAGGGCATGGTCCTCCTCCCCTTCACAACCCCCCCTCCCCCCCAATTGAAAGATGGTTAACATGCCTCCCAATTGTCCTGCTTTTGGAGTCTTGTCATTCTTCAGCTCCCTGGTGTCTTGGGCAGCACAACACAAGCGAATCATTAGACGGTCCTGTGCAGTGGCACTAGGACCATACAGAGAATACAGTACTCTCAGCATTGTTCTTTATGCAGTGAGCTGGCCAGGAAACAGTCTGTGAGCCTGGTGTGCTTGATGCCAGACTCACACACCCTTTAAATGGACAATCACTGGTGATGCCCCTCAGACTTGCCCTGTCCAAATTCCAGTTGGGTTAAATCTGAGAGGAACACAGTGGGTATGGGAAGGCTCTCTGGGTGAGCGGGTCATCAACTGTTGAATTAACCATTAGGAGGGTAAACACTTGCCTACAGGTGCATTTCCTGTTTTCAGTATTTATATTTTTGGGTATGTTTTGGAGTGTGCTATTAGGGACGGACATGCCTTGTCCAGTGTCCCTATAGTCCAGCCAAACGTAGTGGCGATGCTGCAGGAACACTTATAAAAGATGTAAATCTTTGTGCTGTCCCAGCTCTAACCAGTGTCTGTGTGTGAAGCTGGACAGGAAGTGGAAGGGACCATTTCCAATATGCCCACTTAACCGTCTCACACAGGAAATTCCTTGCAGAAGGAGCAAGGACATTAATCAGTATAAGATGCTGTAGCTCTCCTCTCAATCATTGGAGAGTAACTACTTTGTAACAACTCTACCCTTAACACCCATTTTCCCTTAGCACTAAATTTAACCCCTCCCAAAAGCTAAACAAACAGAGCCCTTGGTCCCAAGTTCCATCACTCAAAGCTAATACCTGGAAAAAATACATTAATCCTTGGTTTACTTCCTTATACAATAAAGTGCCTATATACCCCAATACTAAATTTAACCCCACACTAATCCTTTACCCAATAATTATAGACACCCACTATACCACAACTATTACTCCTCTCGTGTTTAACTCCTCTTAACATTAATCTTACTGGCATTAACCCCTCTCTAACCTTAATATCCCCCATACCCCTTTATATTAACTCCCACCCTAACCACTTTTAATAGTAACTGTAACACTGCATACATTTACACAATACATTACATGCTGAACTATGCACACACACACACACACACATATATATATATATATATATATATATATATATATATATATATATATATATATATATATATATACACATACACACACACACACACACACACACACACACATATATACACATGCTGTCCTGAGGAAAGTCCCGAACTGGGACTGAAACGTTGACTAACATTTGGCATCATTATTTTATGTAACCAATAAAAGTTATATTTTAATCAAGTGCATTTTAATTTCTGCATGGATGTTTGGATGACCCAGGCCCAGCACCCGGCATCTCTAAGTATATTTCTATTTTGCCTGATGTGCAAGGAAACTATGGATTTGTGTATATATAATATACACACACACACAGTGGGACCTCGGTTTATAAATTTAATGCGTTCTCCGGGACGTTTCTTATTTATAAACCGCGGTGTCCCATAGGAATGCATTGAAAACCAATTAATCCGTTCTGGAGGTCAGAAAAAAGTCAAAATAAACTGGCATGGAAACCAACCCACAATGCAGAACACACAATAAAAGGCATGCAAACAATGAAGCTCCGCTCCCTACCTTTCCACAGCTTGAAAAAAATGCACCAAAAAGTCCCAAAACAACTGCAAACAATTTCCAGAATGGCTCCAAAACTCGATGCAAAAGCCGCTCCAACACCTCCACATTCAACGCCATGTACTACCCACAGGCTCCAGCATGCAGGGGGCGGTGCTATAAACCTCCCAGGTGCAATGCATCCTGGGGAAACTTGTTTGTATTGCGAAAAATTTTTGTAGACGGTGGCATTATTTTCAATGGATTTTCATTTGTAAACCGAAAATTTTTAACCGAGGCCCCACTCTGTGTGAGTGTGTGTATGTATTGATGTGGAATCAATCAATGAATTGATTATCTTGCGTATCTGTCCCCGGCCAAATTAAAGAAGTAATGCATGCACGCTCCTAAAGTAATTCACACCAGACACAGGTTTCGGGTTAATGAAAAACTTGAGGAATGTTTATTCTGGGGGGACGGCATGTCCCTTATAAAGCAAAATTACATCATATGCATTGTCAGAGATAACACCTAACCAATTATTGATGTATTATTCCATGTTAAGTGGTTCATTTATTGCTCTTCCTACCGGGTGTGATGTCACTGGTATCTTGGAGGTCTCCCCCAGATTTCAGCGCCATCTTGTTAATGAGGGTGTTAGTCGATGTCAAGGGGAAACTCCCTAGCGGCCATTTTAGGTAAATCACATGTAAGGTTGAATAATGCTGATTGTAGATATACTGAGTAAATAGGCATTTTACTAACATGGATTGGGTTCATATTTTTGTCCACAACAGTCCCCCCTTAAAATGACTATTTACGAAAGAGAGAGACAACTACTAACTAACCCTAATGATGTCCCTAATTGGTTTGCAGCTCATCTGTCTGAACAGGCCTCGAACGCTTCCCGTAGCGGCTAACCCACTACATCTCCTGCGTCAGACTCCTGCCCGTAGAGGCAGACGCTGTCCCTATACTATTCCTCTAGAGTAGTAGTCTGTTTGAGGTGGTGGGACTGAAGAGGTGTGTGAGGTGTCACAGTCCACATCGTCGATATCCTGATGTAGGAATGTAGGTGTGGTGCGGTCAATAGTCTGATCTATAGTCTTTTGTAAGTACCTTTGCACCCAAGGCATCACACAGCAAATCAGAAAGAGAATTACCATAGTAAGAACTGCCATACCTACTTGAAGGAGAGTTTTCTGCCATCCACTCATCCATCCGAACCATCTGTCCCATGAATTGGGGATTCCCGAGTTCCTCTTTAATTCGTCAGAAAGACTTTCTAATTTCTCTATGGCCATGGTTAC